TTAGAGGGTAGAGTGGCTTCCTGTGAGGTTGATGCCTCAGTGTGTTAAGCTTGATTTCTTATTGGTTACCTTTTCCTCTCCTCAATGAGATTTTTCTTCTTCCTTCAGGGGAGCATCAGACATTCCATCCATGGATGGTCTTTGCCTTTGAGAACATGAATCTGGGGGATCATCCTCTCTACCCCCAGGCTCCTGGTAATGACCTTCTTTGCCCTTAGGCTGCTGTTGGATCATAGACAGGAAGTCCTCCAGGCCCATCTCAGTACCTTTTCCAGTGGACCTTGCTGGCATGGCTTTCTAGATCCCAAGGTCCTCTTGTCTCCCTACCTTGATGGTGCATGGGAGCAGGGCTGGTGCAGAGAATCTCTTAGAAGAATTAGTGCTCACCTACATTTCTATAGTGCCTTATTGTTAAAAAATTATTGATGTATTTTGTTTTTAACTTCATTTTTGTTTTACCATGTATTCCTTATCCTACCTATAGAACCGTCCCTTTAATAAGGAGGGGAAAGCAGTTCAGCAAAACTTACCAAACCAGAAGCTCGATACACTGCCATTATATGCAGTGCTCCACTGCCATAGTTCCCCATCTTTGCAAAAAAGGGAGGGAAGTACACTCATATCTCTTTTTACTCTGAAAACTGCCTATTCATACCCCTTGACCATTTATATCAATTAAGTATGACTCTTATTCTTATAACTTTGACCGAGTTCTCTGTAAGGTCTTAGAAACTTGCTGGAATGATTTCCTCTACCCCCCCCCACCTCCCCCACCCCCCCGCCCCATCTCTTGCTCATCTTCTAATTTTAGCTGCATTGGTTTTGTTTGTACAAAATCTTCTTTTTTTGTGTGTGTGATTAAAATTGTCCATTTTACCTCCGGTGAACATCTCGAGATCAAACAGTTTGTTTATGATGCTGCCCTTCATGTCTGAATCTCATACAAATTTTGAACTTATCTTAGCATGCAGTGTGAGATGTTGTTCTATACCTAGTTTCTGCCAGACCACTTCCAGCTGTTTTTGTCAGGCAGTGTGTTCTTGCTCCCAATAGCTGGGATCTTTGGGTGGACCAAAAACTAGGTTACTGTGTTCATTATCTTCTGTATCATATCACTTCTTTATGGCCAAACTCATCTATTATAATTGCACATGCTTCATAATTTTTACATCTATTACCTCTGATCGTCACTATGCCCCTGTGTGATAGGGAGGGTTGATTGTGATCTTCCTTTTCCAAAGGTGGCAGCTGAAGTACAGAGGTGCCTAGTGACTTGTCCAAGGTGCGGTCAGTGGCAGAATCAGGATCAGAACCCAGTTGTGTTCTTTATATCATGCTGCCCAAGGGCCCAAAGCTTTATGGGTGCCCACAGTCTCAGGCCTCTTGCTCCCACAAAGACAGATTCTGGAATGCCTTTGAAAATAACCCTCTGGTATAGGACAGGTAGGGTAGTGTAATGGCTAGAGTCCCTCAGACGCTTATTAGCTGTGTGACTGTTGGCGAGTAACTTAACCTCTTGGGGCCTCAGTTTCCCCCTCTGCAAAATAGGGATAATAGCATTAGTTACCTCCCAGGATTGTTGTGAGGATCAAGTGAGATGAGATGTGTAAAGAGCTTTGTAACCTTCAAAGCACTATATAGATTGTTGGCTGTTATTCTTGCTAGCCACTCATCTTTTCTTTAAAAAAAAAAGCCTTATTAACACTTTGTTTTTATATCACCATCATTTCTCAATGTACTCTCCACTTCCCCCAGTCTCTCCTACCTCTGCCCTACCCTGTATCCACCTGTCTTAAGAGAAACAGTGAAGCAGAACCGGTGGATATAGCAACCACATTTGACAGTGTATGCAACAGTCCACATCCATAGCCCCCTGCTTTACCAGTAGCATATTTCCTTGGCCTTTTCCCAGGGCCAGAATTGGTCATCACAGTTACACAATGTCTGGCTTCAGCTTCTTTATGTATTTGCATGGGTGCATTCATTCTAGCATGTCTTCCTATTTCTGCTTACTTATGTTCCTTGTTTCCTTTCTCTCTCTCTCTCTCTCTTTCTTTTTTGGCTAGGCAGTGGGGTTAAGTGACTTGTCCAGGGTCATACAGCTAGTGTGTGTTATGTGTCTAAGGTCGGATTTGAACTCAGGTCCTCCTGAATCCAGGGCTGATGCTCTATCCATTGCACCACCTAGCTGCCCCCATTGTTTCTCATAATATAATAGTGTTCCATTACATTCATCTCCCCCAGTAAGTTTAGCCATTCCTCAGGGGTGGACACCAACTTTGTTTCCACTTCTTTGCTATGAGAAAGAATGGTGCGACTTAATATTTCAGTATATATAGGACCTTTCTTCTTGTCTTTGCTCTCCTTGAAGGTATGTACCCAGCTCTAGCTTAAAGTCATCACTTCATCAGAGAGTATGGCGGGTTCATCAGTGTTACAGCTCCTACTGTGATGGTTTCAGGAGTGAATGATGAATTTCAGGATGAATTGTACTCCATGGCATGTGATAGTTATGGGGGATGCTGTTGTCTGGGTTTACAAGATGGCAGCTCTGGCCTCCCCCAACCTCTTTGTCCGCAGTAGCAAGGCTGGAGCAGGGGATGCAACCCTGCTTCAGGTCATCCCACCTTTTTCTGCCACTGTTGGTCTGTTGGAATGGGAGGAGGAGGGCTTGTGAGCATACCCATTGGACTGCCATGTTGGGATAGATGGGCAGGCACGGGCAGGACATCCATAGTGGGTAGCAACCCAGGGCTTGCCTCTGCTGGAGCTGTCATTCCAGGGCAGCCACCGTGATCTCTCTCAGTTCTGTGCCAAATCCATCTCTGATGCTGTGGGCATCCATGTTTGTAGAGAAGGAGTGGGACATTGTAAGAAGAGCACTGAATTTGGAAGAGCCCAATTGTTAGAATCCATGCCCTTCTGCCTTGGGCAAGTCACTGCCCTTTTCTGGCCCTCATGTTTTCCCTTATCTGTTAAAGACAGGGTTTGGACTAGGTGATCTTGAAGATCCCTTGTTCTAAGGGCTCTAAATCCTGTAATTTTATGTATGTGTCTGTTTCTCTGTGTGTATGTGTGCTTTTGCCTTTTTTCTCATGGATAAGCCTCTGTTGTCCCTTTCCATCCAGTACATTGGATCTTCTCAGGGTCTAAAGAGGGCTGGCTGCCTAGATTGGCTCTACTTTTATCCTCCTTATCCTTCCAGTAAATATGTGTGTGCATTAAAAATATCACACAAACATACATACACATGTATGAAATACTCATATTTATAATGTGTTTCTGTGTAATACACTTCTATTCATATGTGTGTATACATATACACAATACAGAAACATACCAATACATATGCATATATGAAAGAAAGAACGAATAAACAAAGCATTTATTAAACACTTGCTATGTGTAAAGCACTGTGCTTAATGCTGGGGATACATATAGAAAAAGTTCCTGCTTCCAAGGAGCTCATATGCTGATGGAGAAGACAACACATCTGGAAAGTAAGCATACATTTACACATCTGTGCAGACTCACATATTTATATTTACATATATGTTACTGCGTGTACAGATAAGTAAGGGGATGCATATACATATGTGTGCATGTATGTATGCACACATATATGGAGCGGGAAGAAGAAGCACTATGGTATAGAGGAAAGAACATTGGATTTAGAGTTGGCCTCGGTGACCCTTGGACACAACTCATTTTGCTTCTCTGGTGCTTCCTCTGTAAAGGTGGGGTTGGACTGGATGGCTTCTAAGGTTCCTTCCAACTCTAAATTGTAAAATCAATCCCAAATGGACAGCATGATGCTGCCCAAGCCCAGGCCCTGACCCCTCTCCTCTAGCCCAAGACCCTGGCTGCCTGCTGTTCCCTGGCCCTGTCCTGGGGGGGGGGTAGGGGATGGTGGTGGGGATGGCTCCAGCTGTACTTGGTGATATGAATTATAGGAAATACTCCCGTGGGATCCTAGCAAAAGGAGTTCTTAAGCGGTCCTGCCCTCCATTATTGCTCTTTCCCACTGTGAGGCTCACCCAGGTGTTAAGTGTGCTGTCCAGGCACAAGCCACCTGGCAGCCTGGAGCCAGGCGACACAAGAGCACAAGCTGAGAGCAGGCTGGGCCCCCCCCTCCCCCTCCCCCCCTCCCCCGCCTCCAGGGAGAGCCCTTCCCCAGTTAGGGGAGGGGTCTCTGCACCCTCCTCCCCATCCCCTACGCTTAGTTCCTTCCCACACCTGGAGGAGGGAGGGAAAGAGCTGGCATCTGCAGCTCGCTGCTCCCCCCAGGCCAGGGTGCTACATATCTTGGCAGGTTCCACAAGCACAAATTGACTTGGGCCAGAGCCAGCTGACTAGATTAAAGCCATCTCGGCAGGTCAGGGCTCTGTGCCTGCCTCAGGGCCCATCCTGTGCCCCTCCAGCACACCTTTGCTACATGGTGCTTTTTTGGATGCTGGCGTCTGGGGCTGGGGGCTGTCATCTTACCCCAGGTGTCTTCACCTGGGCGTGACTCTTGAGTCAGCCAGAGCCCTGTAACCCCTTCAGTGCTAGCACTGGGAGGAGATTGGGTGGGGGTGGAGGGTTGTGGGAAGATGCCACCTTCTATCTTCCTTCTCCGAGGGCTTCCCCTGCCCAACTCCAGGGAGGACTCTGGGCTGAGGGCCGGATGCTGCTCCTCTGCCGCCAACTGAATCATTTCTATATTTGGCCAGCAAGCCACGTGGGTGGGGGAACCACTGCGGCTGCCCTTCTGACAGCTGCTGGGGGGAGGGAGTGGGAAGGGGAGGATGAGCAGGAGGGACTGGGGCTGCAGGCAGCAGGCAGCGGGCGAGCGTCTGAATTTCTCCAGAGAGCCAAGTAGGGTTGCTTTTGAGCAGTCTTGGAGAAGGGGCAGGCGCTGACTTCTCTCTTCCTCCTCTTTCCCCACAGCCTCCATCCTATTCCTGGGCTCTGAATCTGTCTCCCTTTGTGACTCCTTACATCTCCTCCTTCTCCCACAGAGCTGGTCCAATTCAGTGCACTCTCCTTTGGAAAGGATGGGCGTCCCTAGGCCCGGCTGGGATTCTGCCAGGCTCCATTGCCTGGTGTGAGAGGAAGGCATCCTTTCCAGCCCTGGCATCTTTGCTCATCATGGCCCCGCTCAGCTGCTGCCCATTCGCCTGGGGACTCAGAGGGCCCAGCTTCAGCCCTGGGAAGTCCCATCAGGCAGTTCGGCACCACCCTTCAGAGGCCTCCCAGGCACTGTGCTCCACCTGGAGCAAGAGCCATTGATGGCCTCAGCATGGGAGAACCCCCTGCCTTCATATCTACCTGCCTGGCACTGCCCACTCTAAGCCCTGTGAACTAGGTCGATCTGGAAGTGCCAACCCTGTGAACCCATTGCCCACCCCTAGGGATCCCTGACCACCCCCAACCATGTGTGAAGTAATGCCTACCATCAACGAGGGGGACCCCCTGGGCCCCCCCACGGTGCCGATGCCGACGCCAACTTTGAGCAGCTGATGGTGAACATGCTGGATGAGCGGGAGAAGTTGCTGGAATCATTGCGTGAGAGCCAGGAGACCTTGGTGGCCACACAGAGCCGACTCCAAGATGCTTTGCACGAACGGGACCAACTTCAGCGCCACCTCAACTCTGCCCTTCCCCAGGTAAGCTGCCCCCTGATCGTCCTGCGGCTTGGACAGTGATGGCCCTCCACCGACCTGCCTGTTCCACCCTCCATCTCTCCCCATCCCCAAGGCATTGGGAAGCAGGTCTGTCCCCTTCCCCCATTCCCCCTCTAGTTCTGAGTTCTGAGGCTTGGGTTCAAATCCCAGGTGTGGCACTTAGCACCTGTGTGACTTTGGACAAAGCACTTCCTCTTTCTGGGCCTCAGTTTCCTCATCTGTAAAATGGAACTGTTGGACCAGGTACCTTCTGAGGTTTCTTCCAGTTCTAAATCAGCAATCCTGTCATTCCCTCCACCCCAGCCAACTAATTTGGAGTAATTTGTGTACCATATACATATGCCTTGAAAATCAGTATAACTTCTGCCCTCCTTTCGTCCCTTTCCCTGATGTCTTCCAAGCCTTGTGAGTCAGTCTGGCCTGACTAAGACTGGAAAAATGAAAGGTTGGGGTCTTCCTTGGCTGCAGGAGGAACCCTTTGAAGACCCTAGCCACAACCCTACCTGCAGTGAGCCAAGCGTGCCAGCAGGTGGCACCCCAGCCTGGGAAGAAATTTGCCAATTAGCCCCACTAGCCTGTGACTCACCCATCCTGGGATGAGGGTGGATGGTTTTCTGAACAAGGGGGTGGGTATAGGAATACTTGGTCATCAGGCATCTTGCCTGTGGATTGTCAGGGAGGTGAGTGGGGGGCATCAAACCCTGGGTGAAGGGGATGGTTATTCTGTCCCCTGAACTACCACATCCTCTATGTGCCCATCTGGCATGTCAGGGTGTCCCCTCTCCCCCCTCCCACACCCCAGCTTTCCCTTCCCCATTGTAGGAATGGAATCAGCTTTCAAAACTAATCACCAGGCACCAGTGATCATTGAGCCAACAGAGCAGCCTCAGGGCTGGGCTGGGAGGAGAGCTGAAGAATTTGAGGAGAGGGTGCATAATCTGAGAGCCCGGGGCAAGGGCCTCTCAGGTGGGTCACAGTTGGCCCAGTCTCTCGCCCAGGGTTTATATGGTGTGGAGGCTGCTAAGGGACCAGAAGACCCCAGCCCTGCCTGGCTGGGGTTAGGGGAGTCAGATGCAGGAACTCTTGCTTTGAGTGGGGATTCCTTTGCATGGGATAGGGAAACTCCAAGCTAGGCTGATGCTGGGTGACAGAGTTGAGAGGAGCCTGGTCCCCAGAGAGCCCTTTTTGTATTCTGCCCTGAGAGCAGTGACTTGGCTAGTGGTCGTTGTTGGACTCTGAGGCCTGCAGATTGTGCAGCCTGGCTGCTTGTGTCTGATTCAGCCAACACTTCTTGAGGACCTAGTGTGTGCAGAGCACAGAGCAAGGCACCCGAGTTAGGGAGATTAGAGATGACAGGGACAGAGGTGACCATAATAATCATTACAAGAGCAGTAATAATTATAGCTAGTATTCATATGGGTTTGCAAAGTGCTTTACAAATACCTCATTTTCTCTTCGCAACAACCCTGGGAGATAATAGGTGCTATTATTACCCCCATTTTATAGATAAGGAAACTGAGGACTGAGAAGTGAGATGATTTGCCCAGGGTCACACCACTAGTAAGTATTTAATGCAGGATTTGAACTTGGGTCTTCATGACTCCAAGTCCAGGACTAGGTCCGCAGTACCACCCAATTTGCCTGTAATACAGAACAATACATGATAAGTGCATCTGGAAGGTACAAAATAGTGTTTTGTGAGGTCTGAGGAAGAGAAGGTCATCACTGACTGGAGGAGAAGCTATTATAGAAGAGGTGACATATGAGCTGGCCTTTAAAGGTGGTAGAGGAATTCAACAGGATAACACCAACAACTTGAATTTACATAGACCTTTAAGGCTTTCAGAATGTGTTCCCCACAACAAACCAGTGAGGTCTGTTGGAGAGGAGGAAGAGAGTGTTCAAGGTACAGAGAATAACATGATGCAAGACCCTTGATCGGACAGGGTCTCCTTTGGCTAAAGCTCTCCTCCCATCAGCTCTGTGACCAGGCTCAACCTTGCTGGCCTACAAGAACACTTTATTTTTTTTCCTTTTTAATTAAGATATTATTACTATCTTTTTATATCACCTGCATTTCTCAGTATATCCCTTTCTCCCTCCTCCCAGAGATCAATTCTTTATAACAAAGAATTAAAAAGGGGGAAAAACCCTGTTAAACAAAAACTAATCAACAGACAGAAAAAGCCTGATGATGTGTGTAGTGTTCTGTAGCCATAGTCCCTTCCTTCTGCGAAGAGTTGAGGAAGATACAGAATGGCACTGTTTTCTTGGTAAGGGAACAAAGATCTAGACGAGAGACAACCTGATATAGTGGAGGCCTCGTCAGAGTCAGAGGACCTGGGTGCAAATCCCACCCCAGTGGCTACTACTTGTGAACCTTTGGGCAAGTCTCTTCAGTCCTCCGGGTCTGAGTGTGCTTCTCAGTTAAATGAGGGGGTTGGATTAGGTGACCTCTGAGGTTCTTCCCAGATCTGAGTCTGGTCTGAGCTGGTGATCTCCAGGCAGGGTTTGGGGCTGGAGGGAGGCTTGGCACTAAGATGTCAGGTTGTAAATACTGGAGTAGTTGGCTGGGACATTCTCTAGGTCAAGGCCTGAGTGATCATTGCCCTTGGTCTGTGAAGCCAGAGAAGTTTAGGTTGTGGGGGGGGTCCTGCTAGGTGTCTACACCTCATGTCTAAGTTACTAGGAAGCTAGTAGCTTCTTACAGAGGCGCTCCAGCCCCAGACACCTCCAGGGCATGTGCCAGCAGGTTCTGTGCTCTTAGGGCTTCTTCCTCCTCTCCTTGGCCCCTGCTGCTTAGAATTGGAACAAGTATCTCCATTGTATAGTTGGGGAAACTGAGGTTGTGAGAAGAGAGAAGACTCACTCTTGGCCACACAGTGTGTTGAGGGCTTTCACTCACTTGACCTATCCCTCCAATATCAGACCCTCACGATGAGGGTGAGGGTGAGGTCAGTTGGCTCTGCCTCCCGACTTTGTGACTTAGGGCAAGTCATTGAAGCTCCCTGAGCCTCAGTCTCCTCATCTGTGACATGAGAGAGTTTAGCTCTCGTCCAGCTCTACATCCTGGGATACTCTAACAAGACTCGGGCTGGGTCATCTCTGATTGCAGCTCACTCCCTGGTGAGGCCACCCAATGGCTGAAGATGGAGAATGGATGCTGGGGTGCAGGGGTATGGGGGGTGGAAGGCTAGTGAAAAAGGGTGAGACAGTGTTTCCACTCTCCTGGGGAGGGCAGGTCCCCAGGCTCATGGATGTCCTGGGGGGTTTTCAGGAGTTTGCCACATTAACCCGGGAGCTGAGTGTGTGTCGGGAGCAGCTTCTAGAACGGGAGGAGGAGATCTCAGAGCTGAAAGCTGAACGGAATAACACAAGGGTAAGTGGGAAGGACTGGGTGTGTGTAGAAGATAGGCAGGTGCTGTCGGGACAGGGGGTGGGCCTCATGCCAGTGACCCTCTTGTCCTAGACAGCATCTAATAGCAGAGTAATGACCCCTTCCTCTCTAGCTGTTGCTAGAACATCTGGAGTGTCTTGTGTCCCGTCATGAGCGATCCCTTCGGATGACAGTAGTGAAGCGTCAGGCTCAGTCTCCCTCTGGTGTCTCCAGTGAGGTAGAAGTGCTCAAGGCCCTTAAGTCTCTGTTTGAGCATCACAAGGCACTGGATGAGAAGGTGAGTGGGGGCCCCTTGCCCAGTTCGGCTCCATGTCCTTCACTGGATAGGTCACCATGATGCAGCTCAGTGGCCAGCAGCCTCATCTTCCCCATTTGCTCCTGTCTCTGGTGCTCTTGTCACCCTTTACTTAGTGAACCTTGCCAAAGGAACCTTGGTGTTGCTTTCTGGTTGAGTGCTGAAACCTGCCTATCATTCTCCTTGTCCCAGGACCCTTCCGTGCCAACTCTTCCAGGTGTCTCACCCATTGGCATAACCTCTTGCCCTCCCCCATTCCCTGGCCTCAGATTAGTAGACCCATTCCTTCAGTCTGAGGGAGGCAACAAGATGACTTTTTCTTCCTGCCATCTGACCCGGCTAGGTTCGGGAGAGGCTACGGGCAGCGCTGGAACGTGTAAGCACCTTGGAGGAGCAGCTGGCAGGTGCTCACCAGCAGGTAAGCTACCTGCCTCTCTTCTCCTTTCCTCTTTGACTTCCTCCCATGAGCCTGGGTGGCAGGGGCTGCCTTGTACTTTTAATTCCTCTTTGTTCCTCTGATGTCCTTTGGGTGGGACCTTTCCTCTCTGAGAAGATGGGAGTTCTCATCTCCAAAGTAGCCCTTTTTATGTCCTTTTCCCCTGCAGGTATCTGTTCTACAGCAGGGAACTGGAACCCGGGATGGAGCTTCAGGAGAAGATGGGGCCTTGGAGTTGGGACCGAGACTCTTATGGAAGGTGGGTCTTTGGGAGTCTGGCAGGGAGAGGGGTTCCCTCCTTCTTCTCCCTCATAGGGGCCCTGTGCTACTTTATCTCAGCGCCTAATCCATCCCCAATTCCCGTGATGGAAGGTGGGGCCCTGCCCTACTTTAGAAAGGTCAACAGTGGGACCAATTTGATTGACATTTGAGGCTCTCAGCTTCACTGCACACACCCTTCTGATTCTCTTGCTCTGTCAGGTCAGGAGGCCCCTTCCTTTGCTCTTCCCTTTCTGGGTCTTAGTTTCCACTTCCATGAGCCCACTCCTCCCCAAGACTGGCACATTGCTGAGAAGCTGGGCATGGATTTGGAAGCAGCTGCCTTCTGTGAGGCTGGCTAACTAAGGACCAGAGTGGGCTCCTGAGGCCTGGAGGGAGGAAGGGGCTTAACTGGCAGTATACAGGGATGTCAGAGGCAGAGCTCGGAATAGAATCCTGTTGCTGGCTCCTCAGGGGGAAGGGAGGGGGTGGGAGGGCACCCCAAGGGAGGGTGCTTGCTGTGCCCAGGACGCCCAGAGACTGACCAATGACTCGGTGCCCCTGGAGGATGAAGCAGGCCGGGCGGGAGAGCTGCAGGAGCGCCTGGAGAAGCAGACCTTTGAGCTGAATCAGGCCCGCGAGCGCCTGGTTGCCCTGGCCAGCACAGTGGCTGAGCTGGAGGAGGATCTGAGCACTGCCCGCAGGGACCTCATCAAGTCAGAGGAGTTGAGCAGCAGACACCAGCGGGACCTCCGAGAGGTCAGAGGCTGCCACTTGTCCCAGACTTGCCCTGGTCTGGGTTTGGGGAAAGCAGTATGCTAAAATTGAGAGGAGATGCATTGAATCCTGTGGACGGCCAGTCAGAGGGTGGGAAAGGGGCACATGCTTATTATACCTGGGGAGGGAGGGAGGATGGTGGGGTATGACCAGATGCCAGAGGGGCAGTACAGGCAGGCATTGCGGTGGAGGGTCAGAGGCCAGCGTGGGAAAACTCCAGCGCTGCGCCAGTGTCAGAGGGAGGGCTCAGCATACAGTAGGCCTGGTGGGCTCAGCGCTGATGACTCTCCGTGACCAGGCTTTGGCGCAGAAGGATGACATGGAAGAGAGAATCACCACGCTGGAGAAACGCTACTTGGCAGCCCAGCGTGAAGCTACATCCATCCATGACCTCAACGACAAGCTGGAGAATGAACTGGCCAATAAGGAGTCCTTGCATCGCCAGGTGTGTGGCCTGGGTGGGCCGTGGAGTTCCAGGCGGAGAAGGGGCAGAGGTCCTCATGACACCCCGTGACACAGGACCCCATGGCCTCTTGTGGCTGTTTTAACAGAGGCATGGCCTCTCCGGTCACCTGGGTCTGGCTCAGTTTAGTGTCGACAGGACTCTGCCAAATTCCTTTGGCTTCCAGGAGGCCTCAAGTCATTTCACTTGGTCTCTCCTAGGGTATTTGCTTCTTCCACCTCACTTCTGCCTATTGTAACAATCCTGACAACTTGATGTCCCATCATAGTTTCTTCCTTACTGTGCTCAGAGATTTCCTCTACATCCATTAATGCCATGTAGGCCATACATTCACTCCTCTTTCCCATCCTAAGCCCAAACCACAAATGTGTTTCACAAGAGGGATTTATGTATATGGAAGAAACAAAATTACCAATATAGACAAAGGTTACAAGAAATCAGATTCTTCCAGTCACTGGGCCAGTGAGAAACTTCCTCATATAGACTAGTCTCATCCCAACTCTGCTTGAGAATTTAGTTTCCTTTGCTGAGAGGAATGCCAAGTCTTTCTCTGTCTCCCAGGAGTCTCAAAGATCCTCTCTCTTTCCATAATGAATCTAGGGGAATAGCTAATGACAGTCACTGCACTGCATCAGGGGCAACTAGTTGCCTCAGTGGGTAGGGCATTGGGCTTGGAATCAGTAAGACTCATCTTCCTGAGTTCAAATCCAGCCTCAGATACTTACTAGCTGGATGACCCTGGGCAAGTCACTTCACCCTGTTTACCTCAGTTTCCTCATCTGTAAAATGAGATGGAGAAGGAAATGGCAAACCACTGCAGTATCTTGCCAAGAAAAACCCAAATGGGGTCATGAAGAGTCGGATGCAACTGAAAAATGACTGAATAACAACAATAACCCCTCAGCATGCTCTGCCCCATCATGAATTAGCCAAGGGATCACTGGGAAGAGGATAAATGCTGCACCCAACTATTATCAGTAGTTATGCAGTTCCTGCATCCAGACTTCACAAGAAGTATACTGTTTTATCTCGGTCCAGAGGCCGCTGTAGTCTGTGACTTGGCCCTTCTCCCCCTATCCCATGGCTCCCAGGAACCAAGGGAAAGAGCCTGGTCTAACCTTCACATCCTTTTCTTGCATCCAATCTCTTCGCAGTGTGAGGAGAAGGCCCGGCACCTACAGGAGCTTTTGGAGCTGGCTGAGCAGAAGCTGCAACAGACAATGCGCAAGGCTGAGACCCTGCCCGAGGTCGAGGCTGAGCTGGCTCAGAGAATCGCTGCCCTCACCAAGGCAAGTGCCCATGGAGCTAGGCCCTAGGCCTTTTCCCCTTCCCCCTCTCCTCTCTGCCACCTCTCACTCTCCCATGGAGCAAGGCAGATGGCAGAAAGTGTGGTAGGGTGGACCAGGAGATAGGAGCCCTGGCAAGCTGCTTTAATGCTAGGCCTGTTAGCCCATCTGCTAGGTGGGGAGGGTTATTCCTGCATTATGTACTTCATAGGGTTATTGGGAGAATAATGAGCTAGCATATGTGAATATGCTTTGAAATGTGTTAAGTGCTATACAGCTACAAGGTGCTATGGTTGTGCCTTCTTTATGAGGTCAGACCAAAAAGAATAGGACTTTTCCATCTGGTCTGGGGGTTCTTGACATTTTTTTGTGTGTCTTGGATGCTTTCAGCAATGTAGTGAAGCCTGTGGACCACTTTTCAGAATAATATATTTAAATGCATAAAATAAAATACATCATAAAGGATTACAAAGGAGAACAATTATATTGAAATACAGTTAGCAAAATAATTCTCAGATTCCCTGAAATCTTTCCATAGGCCCCAGTATATTGAAATACAGTTAGCAAAATAATTCTCAGATTCCCTGAAATCTTTCCATAGGCCCCAGGTTAAGACCCCTGATCCAGGAAGATTCTGACAGAGAGGGGATGGGGAGGAGGGAAGACGTGATCAGTTGATTCATTTTTGTTTCCACCAATATTTGTTGAACACCTGCAAGATAAAGACAGGGACAGAGTGAACAGATTGTCCCCCAGTTCCAGGATAAGGAGTCCTGGGTTGGGAGGTACCCCTGGAAGCTTGAAGGAGGAGGGAGTTTTATGGCAAGTAAAATGACAAGTTTGGAGAAGCTTGTCACCAGGTTAGCCATCAGGTAATGGTGGGGTTTTTGGAGATCTATGACACTGGCAAAACCAGAGACCCCTCGGTCCTGTGTGGCTGACACCTGTTTCTGTAAGTGACTGTATTGGAATGGCGAAGGACCAGAGGGTGCTAAAAAGCATCCGGTTCTTAGGCTGTCAAGAAGCATCAGTTTGCCTGGTGATGCTCCTAGGGTGTGATCTTTTGTCCAAACTGACATGGTAATTCACTACTGCTCTAGGACTGAACCACACTCGCACTGACATTCATACACAGCAGTCCTGTGGTTCTCACACTTGTGTGGTCTCAGGACCCCTTTACACTCTTCTAATTATCAAGGGTCCTAAAGAGCTTTTGTTTATGAGGGCTTTACATATTGATACATACTGTATTACAAATTAAGACATCTTAGTATCATTATGAAAACAGTTTTGTCCTCACATATCCCCTGAAAGGGTTTCAGGTACCTTCAGGGGCTCTGTACCACACTTTGAGAACCACTGATCTACATGAAACTGGAGAAGCCACAAGCTATGTGGAAGGTCAGCTCAGTGATTCTCCCTGGAGAGACAAAGAAAGGACTTGGCAAATCTGGACTCATGATGTACTCAAAGGTGACGAGAAGAATCATTTCATAGGATGCTTGACCATCTGGCTCACCATTGGGCATGGTGAGGGCCAGCACACAAGATGCTACAAAGATAATTGTGGCTTATGGGTCAACATCTGTTGCAAAAGATGAAGAAATAGAGAAATTCTGTGAAGAATCTTACAACCTCCTCTAAGCTCTATAGACGTACACCTCGGTAGTCAGTGACCTCCATGCAAAGGTGGCCGTAGGGAAGGATAACGAAAGCCTCCAAGAAATGGAAGAGGCCACAGTCTTCCGCAGTCTTGTGCAGCGTGATGCTTTGGTCAGTACGTGAATCGAAAGAGGTGTGTGCTGAGCGACATCATACAGACAACAGGAAACAGCTGAGTGCTGACAGTGGTGATCACTTCAGATCCATATGCTGGTGCAATCAGATGGCTAGAGCAAAGGCCAAAGTTAACATCACGTTAGAGCAAAGGGTCAAAAGCAGAAGATAGCTTCAGCAGGGACAGCATCTCCAGTCTGACCCGTTTAGATGCCGTCAACACCAAAAAAAGGGTAAATGGAAAGAAATCAATTCTCTCACCAATTTCAGAGGAATGAAATTGTTTCAAAACAGTTGCTACCATGAGAATGCCAGTAAATTACAGAAACTGCTCTGGCCATCAAACACACCTTCACCCAGCCATGACACCAGGGAAGTGCTGGTTTAACCTACAAATAACAACCAGAATCCTGGAGGAAGATCCCAAGCTGTGCTGCCTCATCAAAGTGTAAATAGAGAGAGCTTGGGGTGAGATCCACTCAACCAGGTCATCCCAAGAGCCTAGTTCACATCCTGTGTCAGAAGGAAGGAAGACAGCAAACACATCTGAAATGAAGAGCTTGCTGGCACTTGTATGGTGATGCTTGCTCATCAGCGCTGGTTGCGGAACGAGCTGCAGGACTGAACTCTAGGACCTTGTATTATGGGAGGGAGAAGCAATGGCCCTTTACAGGCTTGGAGGAGCAGTTGCATCTGTCCAACTATAGGGATGGTATTGGGACCTGTGATTCCATTGGTCTGGTGAACTTCCAGGTGAGGAAATGCCTTCTTCCAGTGCAGGTCAGCACCTTCTCTGCAACTTAGCAGTTAGTCAACAAGTATTAATTAAGTTCGTATTCTGTGTTGTGTGCTGGAGATGTAGGTACAAAGAATGAAACGATCCTTTTCTCTTCTGGTTTTACAGCACTGAAAAATCCAGTGACTTGTCCAAGGTCATACAGCCAGAACGAGTCATAGGCAGGACTTGGCTCTCTATCCACTAACTGCTGACTCTTGGACTAATATGGAAGAAATCTGTTCTGGAAACAGCAAAATTTTAAGATTGTTCGGGGGTCAGTTGTCAAGATATTCATAGATAGAATGCTAGTTTTGGAATCAGGAAGATCTGAGTTTAAATCCTTCCTCAGACACTTAACTGCTTGCATGGCCCTCAAGTCACAACTGCTCCCAGTCTCAGTGGCCTCATCTGTAAGATGGGGATGATACAAACAGCATCCACTGCACAGTGTTCTGAAGATCGAGGGAGATGGTGTATGTAAAGTGCTATGTGAATGTTAGCTGTTATTATCACAGAAGAATGGGAAAGATCATTGAATGGTACTTTTAAAAAGGACAGCTGGGAAGAAATCAGCTGCTGCCAACCCTGTATGCCTTCTTTCTCATTTCTATAAACTCTTTATGGGTGTGGTCTATGCACGTGTCAAGAGTGTTCTCGATGAAAAGACATGAAGGGAGTAGCTAGGCTTTTGCAGGTATTTTTCTGTCCACAATCTTTACAGCCATACAGTGATCTCATTGATATAGAGAATCTAAGATCCCATTTGCCTGTTATCTGATTATTAAAAAGCATTTGATTCAGCAGAACAAAATTTAGCCTTTAAAGCTCTCATCAGGCAGTGCCTTCCATATGTATATTAAAATAACATTATGTAATAGAGGCAGTTAAGGAGAAAACTTGGTTCAGTGATCTGTTGCGTTATTGACATCAAACGGGACATAACACTTGGAGACATATGCTCACCTAAAGCATTTGATACTGTGTTGCAGAGTCCAAAGAGAATAAGGACTTTCTCTAAGGGCTGAAGCCCTCTGAATACTCCTTGTACACACATGACATCACAGTTAATTGCATTGAGTTCCAGGGCATTACAAAGCCTCCTCAGTTAAATCCAAAGTTATGTAGAAGAAATTATTCTAACTGTCCATACCAAAAAAACCAAACCGAACCAAACCCACAAACCCAACTCCGTTGTGAATGAAAATTGCAGCTAGGAAGGCAGCCCATTGTGTCAGTACATTTATCTTTCTGTCTGCTTGTCTGTCTTTCTGTCTGTCTATGTAAATACAGGATGTCCCAAAAGTATTGGTGCAGTTTTAGGCTACTGAAGTTTAAGATGATGTAAAGTTATTAGAGTTTGAAATTGCATCAGGACTTTTGAGATGCCATGCATATATTTTGAATAGACAATGCAGAGGTGGGACCAGAATCATGTAGGAGGAGAAGATGGGGGTATATTTGGGAAATCATGTGAAACTTTGAATGATCCCAAGCTGCTTGTTGCCACAAAAACCCATCTTTTCTGCTGTGTGACTATAACTTATGGAACACCATGATCTCAGAAAAATAGAAGTAATGACTAACTCAAAGGACAGCACCAAGGTGCATGGTAGGCATTGATAGGCTGCATCCCATTACCAATGACGACTCCTGCACAAGAAGACACAAAAGAAATTGTTCAGGGCACATTTGACCAGAAAACAAGGTGGACTGGTCATGTAGTAAGAATATGAAGCAACATGTGGGTGGTCCAGATGCTTCGATGACACCCCATTCTCTCCCTCTTACCCAAATAGTAACAAACCTCTGCACTGGATAAACCATCCATGGGAAGACGTGGGTGAGAATAGCACAGCATGATTAAGTGTGAAAGGGCTGCGATCTGCCCTGGTGGTAGGAGCACACGCCAATAAGATCCTTGTTTCCTTTAAACATCTAAATAGACAATGAACTTCATGGAGCTCATTCCCTCCAAAAGGTGGTGGTATAAGACGGAATAATGTCATAGAGCTCTGACTACGAATTACAACTCTAAGATCAAATTACTTTGAAAGGAAGAAAAACAGTATATATATGTAGTAGAAATAACGGTGACTATTCCGCATGCAAGTTTTATACAAGTCAGATTTGGGAGAAAAAAGAACAGTTTATTTTCTGACCAATATGGCAGATAGTTTCAGGTAAGGTTTAGGTAAATTCGTGAATGACAAATGCATGAATTAAAGGGAGCTTGGGAATATCTATCTTATTCTTAAGGGAGGTCAGTTGTACCTTCCTTCCTACACCATTTCTGAGTGCCTCTCAAAGTGGAAGCTTGGATCACTCTACTATTTTTGGATTAGAACCTAGAAGTATTGACCCTTGGTCTTCTCTTTGGTGATCCTCTTGCAGAGGAGTTTCCAAAGCTGTGTCTGTGTGCATTCTTGGCTTCTTCTGCAGGCCTCTGGTTCTTGTCTGGAGAGCTCAGTGTGGGGTTCGAATATGGTTTTGGAACTGTAAGGGTTTCCTCTGTCCTGGAAAGGCCTTGATTAGGTGCCTTGCCTTGAGTATGGGCCCAGAAAGCTTCAGATTTTGAAGGGAACTTAGAAGTCATCTGGTCCATCTCTTATTTTACAGATGATAAAAATAAGGCCTAGAGATGTGAGGGTCTATAAAAGTAGAAGTAGTAGAACTGGGACCAGAGCCCAAGTCTTCCCCCTCCAAGTTTCTTTCCACTCCACATTTCTCTCACAATATGAAGAAATCAAGGAGCAACTTAACTGGCAAGAGGTTTGATAGGTGGGCTTCTGAGGGTGTCTCAGTCTATTTGTCCTGGTAAAGAGAGAGGCTGGCAGCTTGGGAGCACCTTGTTAGAGTCTTTAGGGTATTCTAGGTTGGGGCAGCTGGCTGCAGGCCAAGATGATGGTGGGAGGGGGTTAGGTCAGGCTTGAGAAGAGCTGCTTGCTGGTGAGAATTATGAGCCACAATGTTGGGCCAAAGGGCTACGGAGCCGCCTCTAGTGATTTTCTTTTTTTAGGAAAGGCAAAGGCAGTTCTGTTTCTCTGGGCTGATGTGAATGAACACAGGGGAATGGCTTTGTAGCTCTTTGAGCCCCAGTTCTAGCAGTGTCAGCTAAGAGAGTGCCAGGTTATGGAAGAACTTGGTTTGTTCCTCACTCTGAGGTCTGGTGACAGCTCTGCTGGGATGGGAGTTGGATTGTGAAAGGCAGATAGGTGGGGAGGGTGAGGAAGGGGAGGAGAAGCTAGGGAAGGAGTGTGATGGTCAAGTGCATATTGGCGTCCCCAGGCTGAAGAGCGGCACGGCAACATTGAGGAGCACCTTCGGCAACTGGAGGCCCAGCTAGAAGAGAAGAACCAGGAGCTGGCTAGGGTGAGGGCAACCAAAGACCCATGAGCGGCTCCTATTACGGTGTACTTGGGCAGGGGTGGCTTCAGCAGGGATGAGAAGGGTTCTCCAGCTGATTCTCTGGGAGTGGAGGTCCCAGAGAGTGTGGAGGGAGTGGAGTTTAGTGGGAAGTCTAGGTTTGTAGTTATGGGGGTGATAGGAAGTAGAGAGTATAGCCAGATGCTAGGGCAGGAGTTCAGAGGGCACAACCAGATGCCAAGGATGAGTATCAATGGAGCAGGTAGAGCCCTTATGAACTACATAGCACGTGTCAGGCATTGTGCTAAACACTTGGCATACTAATACAGTCCCTGCCCTCAAAAAAGGTCATTTGATGATGGGGCAAGACAAGCCATAAAAGGGACCTGGAAAGCAGGGAGGGAAATTGGGAAAAGTGAGGGCAGTTGAGTGGAGGCCTGGCCCCTACGAAGATGAGACAGAGAGGTCATCCGTCAGAGCCAGGAAGCTTGGAGTGGAATACAGTTTTCTGATGGGATGGAGACAGAGAGGAAGGGCGTGATGAGAGAACTTCAGGAAGTTGCAGGGAGGCCTGGGCAAGACAAGACCAAGAGGAGAGCCCAGGAGCAGATTCCCAGAAATAATACCATCAGGAAGGAGTGGAAGCAAAGAGAGGGAGGATGAAGCTCAGTTATTGGCTCCTGGAGGAGCTCGCCAAAGTCCCAGGGGGTTTCTGGGTGCCATGTGGCTTGTCTTGTGGCAGGTGCGCCAGCGGGAAAAGATGAATGAAGACCACAATAAGCGTCTCTCTGACACCGTGGATCGGCTCCTGAGTGAGTCCAATGAACGGCTGCAGCTGCACCTCAAGGAGCGCATGGCTGCTCTCGAGGAGAAGGTGTGGCTGAGGGCTGGGGCTACTGGTGGCGGGGGTGGGGGGCACCCAGGTGAATGCAGGGAAGGTGGGAGGATGGGACCCTGAGAACCACACTTCCTTCTCTGGGTCAGGGTGGGCATGTGTGTGTGTGTGTGTGTGTGTGTGTGTGTGTGTGTGTGTGTGTGTGTGTGTGTATGTGGTATCCAGATTTCCTGAATCTGATCTTTGGTACCCTGGGGCTCTCCTTCTTCCCTAGAACACACTCATTCAGGAACTGGAGAGCTCCCAGAGGCAGATTGAGGAGCAGCACCATCACAAGGTACCTGCCAGCCATCGCCACCTTCCAAAATGGCCCACCAGAGCTGCTGGAGGTAGCCCAGGGCTCGTGGGGCTGCCAAGTCTTTCTTGGGGAGAGACTAGTTTGGTGGTAGTCGACAGTGGAGAGACAAGAGACTCCTCAGGAGGGCCAGGCAGGCGGCATTTCACTGATGTGGCCTCCCTCCCCAGATTCTGGTGAGAGATGTTCTCTGGGGTTCTTGTTCAGGGTTACAGCATCCTAGCATTTAAATCAACTCGCTGTGTCCCCCCATTTTACGGATGAGGAAGGTGAAGTCCAGAGAGGAAAGAAAGGGCTGCTCGAGGTCACACAAATGTCTCCCCGGCTGGTGCTTGACCCCAGATCTTTTGAGACCAAATCCAGCATTCTTTCTACTCGAGAAGTTCTGAGCTTGGACCGCAGCAGGTATTACTGGCCTGGCAGGGATTATTTGATCTCATCATATTCACGCCAGTGAGTGCCAGGTAGGCCTATAGGGCAGAGGGCCTTGTGCCAGACTCTGTCTGTTGGAGACTCTGCAGCAGGGAGATTTTGGAGCTGTGTCTGCTATTGCTGACCCCATGAGCCAGCCCTCCTTCCTGTGTCTGTGAAGGACAACAGTGTGTGGCAGTGGAGGTGGGCGGATGGGATTGGGTTGCTGCAGTCCACTCCTCTGCTTCTGCCCTTAAAGATGTTCTCAGGGATTCTTTGGGAGGTCTGCCTATAGTCCCTAGCAGATCCCATGTGAAATGTGCTGCTTTCAGCAGTAACCCCCCCTTCAGATCTCATAGGGGACTTTGTTTTGTCTCTCTCGAAGTACTTATGTCATGTTGTGTGTGCTAGTGATCTGTAAAGTGCATCACCTCTATTAGACTGTAAGCTCTTGGAGGGCAGAGACTGTTTCTTATCTAAACTTTATCTCCCCCAGCTCCTAGACAGTGCTTTGTGCCTGTTGTGGAGGGCACATTGAATCAATGCCCTCCCTGGAGGGATAGTCTCTCAGGCTGAATTCCTGACAGAGCTGAGTTCATTCCCCAGTCCCTTGGGCCAGCCCTGTTTCCTCTATGTGTGACAGACAGCAAGTGTGTTGGGCAGTTCTCTGTTAGCTATTAGCCTCCCTTCTTAACCAGATCCCTCTCTTAGCCTTAATACTCTTGGATCAGCCCTTTGCCAGGACCCTCGGCTGATGCTCGCTGTTGATCCTTTAATCATGGTGTCAGGAGTGGGCCTAGATTGGGGCTTCTGGGGTGTGGCCTGTGCTGAGTTCTTCTTTACCCTTCCCTGACCTCCGCTTTCCCCTCTCTGCTGCCCTCTCTTTGCCCCAACCCAACCCCCACCATCCCCTCTGTGACCCCCACCCTGCCTGGGTTGGCCTGGCACAGGGCCGCCTTTCAGAAGAGATTGAGAAGCTGCGCCTGGAGGTGGACCAGCTGAAGGGTCGAGGGGGGCCATTTGCAGATGGCGTCCATTCCAGGTACTAGAGTTGAGGAGTCTGGGTGCACTCGGAGGGGTCCCTGGAGCATCCTGACAGAAAGAAACACTTCTTTGGATGCTGACTATCTTATGGTTCCTGAGATAATCCCCCTTCAACAACCTCTGTCCTATAAAAACTACCAGAGCCTCATCTTACCCAGGATGAGGTAACCAAGGCTCCCAGAGGTTGAGAGAGAAAAGGTGACATTTAAATAGCCCTTGATGGTCCAGAGCATACTGTCTCCTCCCTCCAGCCTTGTGAGATAGGCCCCAAAGTGGGATTATCCCTTTGTCACAGCTGAGGAAATTGAAGCTTAGGCAAATGACTTGCCCAAGGTCACACAGCTAGAAACGTGTCTGGACTGGGGCTTGAACCCCAGGTCTTCTGACTCCTAGTCTGATGTCCTTTTCACGGCTCCCCTACAGCACCTCAGGGCAGAGTTGGGACCGGGGCCCGGCTCTTCTGCCCGGTTGGTTAGTGTATTCTGTCTTCCAGGGGAGCCGCATCCATGCTCTGCTTTGAAAACTAGATTCTGGGATTAGAGAGAGCAGCGTCAGGCCTACAGACCTAGACTGGAAGATAGGCCTCAGTCAAACCCCCTCATTTTACAGATGACGAAAGTGACTTTTGCCCAAGATTCTCTTGACGGAGGTTGCGAAGCAGATCACACACAAAAAGGGGGTGGCTGGTCAGTCTCTTGCCACCAGGCTCTCCAGAGCTGTTGCCACGCTTCCTCCACCCCCCCCAAAACCCCACTATCCAAAACACTTTTTCCTAGGGTCTTATTTTCCTTTGATAGGGGTGCGGGTGGGAAGAGCACTAGTATGATATGACCCAGGGTGTAACAAGCTCTTTGCCACTTTTTTCTTTCTGTTCTGTCTTTGGTGTCCTCTGGCCTGTACCCCAAACTTCTGGGCCTGGGGAGGGGGAGCTTAATACTATGGGGAAAGATAAGCTGGAATCTCTATTGCTCTCATCCCCCATAACCACTCTGGGTAGTTTGATAAAGGCTCCTGCAATCTCCTGGTCTGTGTCCCCTTTGGGGTCCTAAGTGACTTGAGAGTTAGTGAGGAGCAGTGGGGAGCTAAGGAGTTAGCAGAGACACTGGAGGATGGTTCCAGGCCAAAGAAGTTTCCTTAGCCCTCCCTTCTGTTGTGGTCTCCAGGCCTGAAGCCTCCCCAGGGTTTGCCAGAGGCCCAGGGCTGAGCCAGCTCCGGGTACACTGCCCAGGGTGGGGAGGTCCAAGCGGATCTTTCTGACAGTTCTGTCTGGTCCAGAAGGCATGACCTTGGTGGGTGGGGAGGTTCCTGTGCTCAAGGGATGTTCTCCCCTTTTCCTTCAGGTCCCACATGGGCAGTGCTGTGGACCTTCGGTTCTCTATGAGCGCTGGAGCCCACGCTCCCCCTGGTCCTACCCCCAGCCTTCACCGCAGGTTTTCTGCCCTTCGAGAGGAGCCCACCAAGGTAAGGAGCAGGGGGAGGGGGAAGGACACTCCCTCGGGGCCTTTGGGGTCCAGCCCGCCGCGTGCCTGGCTCCAGTTTCGCTGGCGGCTGGCGTGTGGTACAAATCCTCACCCTTCAGCCCTCCCCTCAACCACTGACAGCTGCAGCAGCGGGGGCTCAAGGCCGTCTGTCAGTGGTAACAGCTGTGGGGCCCCTGGACCCCCTGAGCCTCCTTCCTCCCTGAGGTGGGGAAGGGGGAGGGTAGGACTGGCAGGTGGCCAGTCAGGGGGTGTGTGTATGTGTGTGTGTGTGTGTGTGTGCACACGTGCACATACATGTATTGTATGTGTGTGCATGAGTGTGTGCATGTCTGTATGTAATGGGCAGAGATATCAGGAAAGAGAGGAAAGAGAAAAGCTGAGGAGCTAACTAGGCTGTGGAAATGGCATCTGGACTTTTCTGGGAAGTAACTGTGAGCCAGTGGTCTCCCTCTTTGCCTAGAAGGGTGTTTCCCTGCAGTGTGCTCCCTTCTATTTCCCTAGCCTTCCCTAAGGACTCCTCTTTTTCCTCTTCTTTGCTCCCTCTGCCCTCTACCTCCATAGTGCTCAGACTGAATAAAGACTGCAAGAGCTGGCTGCAGAGAGCCTCGGAGGTGAATGGGTGAACCGCCCCCTCCCCCACTCCAGGGTCTTGGGTGCTAACAGTGTTTCTTTGCCTCTTGCCTCCTTCCCCTTCACTCCCCATTCTCTTCCTTTTCCACATCCACCTCTACTCCAGTATGGATGTCTTGGAAAGAATTAGCAAAGGGAATTGGGGAATCCAAAGTGACTGGTATGGGTGCTGAGAGAATCCAGGTGCCACTCACACCAGTCGCTGCTCCCAGAATGCTCTCCTCTCTGTGGGGCACTAAGGAGGCATTGGAGAGAAACCGTTAACCAGGAGCTTTGTCATGACCCCCCTCCAGTGGGGCTGACTGCTGGCAGTGCAGAGGAATGTAATATCATGGATCTAAAGTGGGAGGGAATTTCAGAGCTATTTAGCAGCTTGTCCATGGCCATGCAGCGAGTCAGGGTGAGAGACACTGCTGCACCCACCTAATTGTTCCTTTACTTTAATGATCTGGAGGCAGGGGGTGAACCAAAACCCTTCCAAGGTCCATCTATGGGTTCTGTGACTTGTAACAGCTTTGGACAAATGAAGACTGCCTGCACCCCTCCTCTACAGCAAGGGATGGGTGTGTGTGTGTGTGTGTGTGTGGTGCAGGGGGAAGGACCTGGAGGGGGCTGTGCCACCTCAGCAGGGTGTCTAATTGCCACTTCTTCCTTCCTCCACTTCCCAAACCACATTAAGGACTGGGAACCATCGCCACTCTCCGGGGTGCTGGCTCCCCCGGCTGCCCCCGCCTTTGATAGTGACCCTGAGATCTCAGATGTGGATGAGGATGAGCCCGAGGGGATGGTGGGCTCTGTGGGTGTCATCTCTCCCAGCGGCCACTCAGATGCTCAGACCTTGGCCATGATGCTTCAAGAACAGCTGGATGCCATCAATGAGGAGATCAGGTTTGAGGCGAGGCCGGCCTGATTAGGAACAAGGGGACACTGATAGGGGTTGGTTCTTCTGAATTTGGGAATTGGGAATAAAGTGAATTATGTGATGCTTTGCAAATACAGTATATCATTGCATATAATCTGGGGATAAATCGGGGGATAGCTCTGGAGTCAGCTCAGGAATTCCATTCTGTAACAGGGGTGGGCAATTCTGTCTTGGGGCAGGCTCTTGTTCATCTCAGCTGAGAGCTCCAGACACCTTCATTTGGGTTCTTAGCACCCCACTGAGGCCTAAAGGGGAAAATAATGACCTCTTTGGCTAGGCTGGTTTTCAGTGTGGGAGGAATTGAGGAAGAGGAACGAATTCTGGGGCCCCTGCTTGCCTTTCTTGACTTGTTCCCAGAATGCTCTGCTCTCTGTGGGGCACTAAGGAGGCACTGGAGAGAAACCACCAGGAGGTTTGTCATGACCCCCTGGGGGGCTGACTGCTGGCAGTGCAGAGGAATGTAATATCATGGATCTAAAGTGGGAGGGAACTTCAGACCTATTTAGTCTAGTCTGGACAAGAAACTGAGGCTGAGAGGTGTGAAGCAGCTTGTCTGTGGCCATGTAGTGAGTCAGGGTGAGAGACCTGAGGTCTCAGAGCCCAGTCCGCCTTTCACTCCTTGCTGTATATGTTTCTGGAGGCTTCTTTGGTGAAGCTTGGGATGTAGATGGGCAGTCCTGGAGCTGGGGGAGGGTAGGGAGGCCTCTGACCAGCAATGCGGGGGAACTCCTTCCCCACCAGCAGCCGCTGAGTGTAGCTTTTCAGGGTGGAGAGAGTTGGTGACTTTTTAATGATGTGATTCGGAGTTGAAGGAGTTTGGCATGGCAACTTTCCTCTGGACCACCATACAAATGTCCAAGGGTCTCCTGTGTAGATCCTTAGTCCCCTTTGGGCTAGAGATCCTAATGACTGGGTCTGGTTTCTTTACCTGCCAGGATGATCCAGGAGGAAAAGGAATCGACTGAGCTTCGAGCAGAAGAGATTGAGACACGGGTAACCAGCGGCAGCATGGAAGCACTGAACCTCACCCAGCTGCGCAAACGCAGCTCAATCCCCACCTCGCTGACCGCCCTGTCTCTGGCCAGTGCTTCTCCACCCTCAGTGGCCGCTCCACACCCAAACTCACCTCCCGCAGTGCCGCCCAGGACCTGGATCGAATGGGTGTCATGACCCTGGTGAGACCCGCTTCCTGGGTCTCCTTGAATCTTCCTAGGGGCCCAGGATGTCACGAGTCTCTGCTTTTGGAATTGATTGAGGGAGTCGACGGGTCTTGGGCTGAGGTTGCCTTTGATTGGGAGAGTCTTATTCCTCATATTTCCTGGGAGTAGGATACTTTGTGGCCAGGATGCCAGAATTCACAGGCCAGGCTCCTGACTTGAGTTTCTTGGAGCTTGGAGAGGTCCTCTGAGACCTATTGCCGGGGTTAGAGATAATTAGCTGCTCTCCCCTGTTCTTTGCCCTGGAAAAGTATGTTACCCCCGAGACTGGTTGCTGCAGCTGGGCCTGGCACTGTCCTGTCATTCTAGGGAGGTTTCTCTTGGCTGTGGATGTCAACATCAGATTCCCTCTCGGTCAGGGTTCCCACCTTCAGACCAAGGCCGTGTCTTTTCAGTGACAGGCTTTTCCCAGGCACCTCAAGATCCAGAGGGAAATTGACCTATCAGGATTATAGGATCATAGGATTTTGGAAAGACCCTTGAAGATCATCGAATCCCAACCTCTGCTTTATGGAGGGAGCTATTGAGAGGCTAAGGGACTTGTCTTCTAAGGTCCTGTGTGTTATAAGCCGGCAGAGCTTTAGGCCCAGCCCTTCTGACACCCACTTCAGTCCCTTCCCACTAGACTGTGCTGCCTCACCCTGTTGTCCTCTCTCATGCATGGGCCTGACTGCCAGCTTTGGGTGCATCTGGAGAGGAATTTGTATGTTCCACTTTTCTTCTCTTTCTCTTGCAGCCGAGTGACTTGAGGAAGCACAGGAGGAAGCTGCTGGTGAGTGCCCTTGAGTGCCCAAGGTGCCAAGGGGTTACCTCTCATAAACCTGGGGTACCTTGCCTCCCCTCACTCCCCAGCCCCAGACAGGGGAAGCAGAGTCTGGGTAGCCAAGGGAGGCTATAGAAGTCTGTCCTGAGTCTTTTCCTGACTTCATAAAACAACCTATGCCCAGGTGGCTGTCAAGAAATGGGTACTCCCCTTTCTTTCCCCTCCCGCCTCCTGGCTTCATGATGGTCCAGTCCCCTCACCCCCAACAGTGGACCCTCCAGGCTCTGCCTTCTTGGAGGAGCTGCCCGTGTGGGTCAGTGGATGGTTGACTAGTTGGCAGGTACCAACATCCATCTCTGCCCTGTTCCCCTCATGGCTTCACTGTCTGTTCAGTCACCAGTGGCTCGGGAAGAGAACCGAGAAGATAAAACCACCATAAAATGTGAGACTTCTCCTCCTTCCTCACCCAGGACTTTGCGGTTAGAGAAACTTGGCCATCCGGCCCTGAGCCAGGATGAAGGTAAAAGGTAAGTGGGGTGGGGCCCACCTCTGTTCTTCCCCTTCCCCCTCTTCCCAGTCAATCTGTCAACAGATCTTTATTGAACACCTTCTACATACAGGGCCCTGTGCTAGACTCTATGGGGTATACAAAGAAGACTAAAGCATAGTCCCTGTCCTCATAGAGATTATACTCTAGTAGGGGATCTCACCCATGCTCCTACTCGCAGACAGGCTGGCATCTCACCTATCCCAGGTACATGGAACTAACTCTAAGCCTCTGCTTGAAGCATCTCCAAAGAAGGAGATGGCCCCAAACCTCCCCTCGTCTCCTGCTCCAGGCCCCTGCATTGCTTTCTCCCTAAAAAGGTAGTTCTTTTTGAGGTCTAGCTTTCATCTCCCCTGCTCCAACTCAGCCAGTTTCCTCTGCTCTCTCACCCTCTTGGCTCCTGTCCTCCAGTTCCTTGGACGACCAAGGCAGTAATCCCAGCAGCAGCAACAGCAGCCAGGACTCCCTGCACAAGGGCACCAAGCGCAAGGGGATCAAGTCATCCATTGGTCGACTCTTTGGGAAGAAAGAGAAGGGCAGGCTGATCCAGTTGAGCCGGGAAGGAGCCACAGGCCATGGTCTCTGCCCTGCCTTCGGAGAGTTTTGGATGGGTTCTGGGAATGGGATAGTGAATGGGAGACTGGGAGCAGGAAGAGCTGACTTAGCTGTTTCTTTGGAAACATTAGAATACTGGGACTATTGGAGAGAACTAGGGGAGACAGAGGGAAGGTGAGAAAGAGAAAGAGGGAGAAGGGGAGACAGAGAGAGGTAGAAAGTGAGAGAAAAAGTGAGAGAGAGGGGGGAGAGAGGCGTCAGGATAGTCAGTTCTTGATTGTGGCTTATCCTCATTATATGTTGGTCCCAAGTTGTTGATACTATCCAGTGTGACACTTAAAGCCTTTTTTGGCATTCGATTCAGTGAGGATTTATTAAGTGCCTATGGTGTGCCCAGTGATTGGCGTTTCATTATTGCTGGCTCTGTTTATTTTCACTCCTGAGCTTAGCCTGCAACCCTGTAGGAGCTGGAAGGGAAGAACTTTTAAGCTGGAACACCTAATTGCCATCCTCACCTCAGGAAGGTGTGAGGCAGAAAGGAAGCTAGATGAGAGAAAGAAAGGGAGGAGGGGTTAGTCTAGAGCTGTGCATGAGTCTCAGAGGCAGAGTTCACCATCTCCCAGCATGCAAGGAGGAAGCAGAAAGCTCTGGATCAAGGGGAAGGGTTTCTCAAAGCTGAACAGCTTTTCAGCTGTACCCCAGAGTCATATATCTCCCCAGTGGAGCTATTTTATGTTTAATGACAGGAATTTTCAGAAGGCTGCCCACACTTGTATTTACCTCTAAATACAATGCTGCATTCCCAAGGCAAATGGAATATAGTATGATTGATTACTTACCATTTTGGTTTGTCCATTTCACTGTCCTTCATCCATTGGTGTGGCTTATGGAGATCATTCTTTATAAGATGTTGCCTCTTTCAGTGGATTGGCCACAGGGTTCTGGGACCAATTCAAAGATGGAGAAAATATGTTATTCAGTGAATGAAAAGAGCACAGAAGGATCTTTATTTTATGCAAGTGAGCACTCCTGGAAGGAGGCAAGGAGACTTCCCATCAATAAAGGGATGTGTTTGTAAGCACTCATAATAGGTTACATCTCTCACTACCAGGACATGATGTTGGATTTTCTTCACTCATATCTCTCTACCTTGTGAGAATGGCTGGGTCTTCTTTCCTTCCCTAAATTAAACACCTTCAGGGCTCTGTATAACAGTAGGCACTTAATAAATGTTGGATTGATTGACTGAGGGACAGACTCTGTCCTGGCTGCTGCTAGGTGGGGTAAACTCTTCTCAATAAGCTCAAAAGATACCCTAGATTTCAGGATTTGCTGAGATGGCTCTGGGATACAGGCACTGTAGCGATCTAGGGAAAAGGAAACCCCAGGAAAGCCTGGGTCTGTGGCCATAGACCAGGCTCCTTGCCCATGGTCATGGCTTCAGGTGGGGCCGGGGTGACTTGTGGGGTGATGGAAATGCCAGGATACCTCTCTAGCTGTGGGTTGAGGTGGGAAAGGGACAGAACAGAGTTGGGAGGCTGGGCAGAGGTGGAGCCCAGAAGCCCTTGTCCTAACCGGTGGTGGGAGAGAATCCTCAAGGCTCTGGACAAGTGGACAGACGTCCCCTTGGAGGGCCTCTCTTTGGTTCTCACTCCCCTCTGTTTGAGTAGACTCTGCCTTTGGCACCCCACCCCATCCCTTGAATGTGGTCTGGGCTTTGGTAAGAGAAGCCAGGTATGTGTCTGTGTGGGTTCCGGGGAGGCTGTACACTGACATCCCCATTACTTCCCTTCTAGTCCTGCTGTCAGAGTCAGAGCTCAACCTGCAGGAGCCCCTGGTGCCTGCCAAGCTGGGAACCCAGGCTGAGAAGGATCGTCGCTTGAAAAAGAAGTAAGGTTTGAGGGATGGGTCAGCCCCTCCTCTTCATCTGCCATCCACTCCCTGAGGGTTATTAGGGTTGAGCCCAGTGATTCGTCTTTTTAGGCCAGCCCCGATTTACACATTAGGGACTGATTGGGGAGAGAGGCAGGGATTTAACATAAGCCCTAGAGGGAAGGGTCAGGAGAGATGTCTGTTTTATTTTGAAATGGTCAACATGTCAATTCTAGGACTGGTAATACAGAAATTAGTTCAGAGCTCAGGACCTTTTGGGAATCAGGCTCTGTTCTCTATTTTCCCTAGTTCATTCTGAACAGGGCAGAGTTAGCATTTAGGAGGCTAATGTAGCTGATTCTGGGCTTGGGCCTGGGGAGAAGTTACGGTAGACATCCCAGTACCTGTTTCAGGAGTCCCCAGGGTCAGTGGGTGCTGGGCACAAAAGAGGGCCAGGTTGGATCCTCTCTGAGTCCGCTTTGCTTTCTTCCCGCCCAGACACCAGCTTCTTGAGGATGCACGCCGGAAGGGAATGCCGTTTGCTCACTGGGACGGCCCCACTGTGGTCTCATGGCTGGAGGTAAGGCAGGGCGGCTGGTGAGACACACTGGGATATGGCTGGTAAGGATGTCCCCACTGGGGGAGGAGCAGAGGGGCCAAGACTCCCTGATTAGGGGTGTGATGTCCCTGGGCCCTCCAGTGCTCATGCCCTGGAGCCCTGTATGGTTGGCACAGTTCTTGGCAGTGTTAGGCTCTGTTCCTACAAATTGTTCTGAAGCACCCAAGTGGTATTGCTAATGACTTTCAATTCCCTTTTGGCCAGCTGTTTGGGGGTTAGTCTAGGAAGGTTTCCCCGAGGGTCATGAGCCCATTGTTCTGGATCTGTTCCATTCTCACCAGCAGCGGTGATCCTTGGGATGGCCCTTCCTCCAAGGTGTATGACTACAGTCAAATTCCTTAGTCTCCCTGGGGCTCCTATTCCTCATGTCTAATGCAGGGGAGAGAAGATTTGGACCGGATGGACTCTAAGGACCCTTCTTGCTCTCAGATTCCCTGACCTCCAGGTTGCTTCAGTTCCTATGGGGTGGGTTTCTGGAGAGGAAGGCAGGAAGCCTGATGGTTAGTTACCCCTCAGTGATTCATGGTTTTTGGGAAAGGAAGGGAAATGGAGTGTCTAGGAGCCAACCCACCCTCTTTTCTGTTGGCAGCTGTGGGTGGGCATGCCAGCCTGGTATGTGGCTGCCTGCCGAGCCAATGTCAAGAGTGGCGCCATCATGTCGGCTCTCTCAGACACGGAGATCCAGCGGGAGATCGGCATCAGCAACGCCCTGCACCGGCTCAAGCTTCGGCTGGCCATCCAGGAGATGGTGTCGCTGACCAGTCCTTCAGCCCCACCCACCTCCAGGACGGTGAGCAGGTGTCCTTTCCACCCCAGGGACTTCTAGGGGGGTTCTTCTAAGATTGCTCCTGGTCTTTGTCACTGGCTTTAATGCTAGGAAGATCCTGCCAGGCTGGAAATCCCCACACCCGGGGGCCTTGCTTGCCTCATTTTGGTTTTCTTGGGTAGTATGTTGAGCTGGTATCCTTGGTGCCCCTCACAGCCAGTGACCTCGAGCAAGTGACAACCACTCTGGGCCTCAGTTTCCTCATCTGCAAAAGTGAAGTTTTTGGACCAGAAGACCTCCAAGGTTTCTTCTAGCCCTAATCTGGGATCTCCCTTCCTTCCTAGCAAATAGCATGGCCCATCCTAGAATGGGCTGTGGTAGGGGAGTTTGAAGGGGAAGAAAGGAATAGAAGAAATTGGAGTGACTGGAGGCCACCCTGTTCTCTTTTAAAAAAAAGGAAAAAACCTTTCCCATGCTCACCTGTGTGGTTGTTTGACCTTTAGGAAAGCTCTTTTTGCTGTTGTTATTTTTCCCACCTCCCTTGGTGTTTGTACAGGACTCTAGCTTCTGTTCTGCTTTTCTTTTTGAGGAGACAAATCTGTAAGGATTCTTACCCATCACCCACCATCGAAGCACTGAATCCTTTGGGGAAGACACTTTGGTTTTCCTCTAGAGGGGCTTAAGGCTAGTGATGGGGAAATGTAATTGGCCAAGCAGTGAGCTCCTTTTTTCCCTCTGAAGTTTTGCAGTGAATGAGTTTATCCTGAGCATTTTGAAAATCCAGGTGTTTTCCTCCTTCAGTGTGCAGTGTCCGGGAGGACAGGAAATTAAGTGGTTTGGGCTGGTTGGTTCTGGAAGGCCCCTTGGCGGGGAAGCACAGTGGCATTATTGGCTTCTCTCTGCCCCAGGCTCTGCTTTCTGGGACCTGATTGTCTTACCAGGGTCCCCTTTTCCTTCACAACTTATTTCCTTCCATTACTTGCAGTCCTCTGGAAATGTCTGGGTCACCCATGAGGAAATGGAGACACTGGCAACATCCACAAAAACAGTGAGTTTTACCCCTCCACCCTCAGCTTAGGAGTCAGAGTCAGGGGGGTGACTTCTGGGGTTCTAGGGGCTCAGAGGGCACTGAAACTTATGAAGCTTAGACCTGGGAGAATTCTTCCGTCTTTGAAGTAGAGAGGAATGGGATAAGGGACAGGGCTTGCTTCTCCATCAGTGCCCTATAGGGAGAGCTCATGAGCTCTATCCTGGGCTGCAGGTGCCCCAAGAGACACCCATGCCAAGCTGGGCCTGGAGTGGAGATAAACTGGAAAGGGCTTACCTCAGGCTCTGCTGGGCTCTGATGCCAGAAGGGCCCCATACCGTAGGCATAGGTCCTTACATTGGATCATGGACCATGAGCAAGGGTATGGCAAAGAGAGGGTCCGGGGCACCTTTACATTCTTACATTCTTACTGTCATGTTTTAGGACAAATCCAAGGACCTAGCACATGGGTGAGTGTGTGTGTGTGTGTGTGTGTGTGTGTGTGTGTGTGTGTGGTGTGTGTATGAGACACACTTTTCCAAATAAGATACCCCCATCCACTTTACTGCTTACTCTTTTCATCTGAGAACCTCAAGGCCCACTAGTCTCCCTTTGCCCCCAGTTCAGCTGAGGTGACCTCCTCCCTCTGCCCCTTCAAGGGGGGGTGGTCTACGCAGGTAAAGGTTGTGCGTTAATTGACCCAGGCTGTTTCTCCTGACATGCTGCACTTGCTCCTGCTAGGACAGTGAGGAGGGCAGTTGGGCTCAGGTAAGATCCCCTGCGGATTCACATGCAGGATGTGAAGGCCCCGGGAGTTCTCTCTGCAGCCCTTCTAGTTGGGGTCTGCTCCCCTCGGACTTAAGTTTTCATTTCTGGTTTCATTCCCCAGAAGAGCCATAACTAGGCATTTATGCATCCAAGGCAAGGTTTAAAAACTGTTCACTGCCTTTTGCTGTTCATTGAAGCATTGAGCCTTTCCCATCTACATAAGTAACTTATCACAAAATAAATGCCCTAAAGGCCACGGGGAGCAGAATTTTCTGCCATTGAAAAATGTGCATTTTTTAAAAGTGGCATTAAATCTCCTTTACGTGTTGCATTCTCAAGGTCTGCCTCTCATACTACTCTTAGTCTTGCCTCCTAGAGAAAGCATCCAGAGACTGGCTCCCTCAGGAGTGCCAGGACACCTGGCATGGCGATGCTGGAGTGAGCTGGCTCCAGGCTCTTCCTCTGAGCTCCAGTCACATCAGCCTTAGAGCTGAATCTCCTTCCCTGGAGAGGAGAAACGAGATGTAGACAGGCTGGGGGCAGTCTCTCCTGTCCCTCACCCTGCCTGGAAAAAGTACTGAGCAGCCAAGAAATGGCCAGTAGTTAGAGAGCAAAGGCCCAAGTGGTGCCCCACACACCAAATGGCCAGTCTTAAGACAATGGAGAGTTGACTCTGTGGTTACATATTATCAGCTCTCAGTGATTCACAGTAAGTGACTTAAATACTTGGAGGGCCATATTGTGTTTTCTCATTGAACATCCAGTTGACTGTCATCAGCCTGGGCCAAAGAGAAGGGAGGGAGCTGAATGACAAATGACCATCAGCTTACATCATTGAAGATAGATCCAATTTTCAATCATCCTTCTCACCCCCTCAACCCTAGTCCAACCATAAAAAACTATAGAGGGAAGTCAATGATGAAAACCTCTGTACTCCTTCCTGGGTAGAAGTTGGATTAACAATTCTAACCAAATGTGAGTGCTACAGATGGCTCCGTCCCTCACTCTTTTGCTCCGGCAGACCCTGGCCTATGGGGACATGAACCATGAGTGGATTGGGAACGAGTGGCTCCCCAGCCTGGGGCTCCCCCAGTACCGCAGCTACTTCATGGAGTGCTTGGTGGATGCCCGTATGCTGGACCATCTCACTAAGAAGGACCTTCGAGTCCATCTGAAGATGGTGGACAGCTTCCATCGGTAAGCTGGGGCCAGGAACCCACGGTCATTTTGCCAAACCCCTTTTCTCTGGATAGGATGGTGCCTCCCTCGGATTTGGTTGTGGGCTGCCTTGCTATAGGAAACAAGATGTCACTGCCTCACCCAGTATTCTATTCCAATGCAGCGTCTCTAAGCCTTCACACTTAGGAAGTCCTTCTTTTGTGTTGACCCTTAGTTTCTCTCATTGTAGTTTTAAGGTGAGGGTCATCCCTATCCCTCATCACATCTTCCAGGGAAGAGCCTGGATAACCACTAGACAGGGATGCCATAGAGGGGAGCCATCTTTTGTCTGAGAAGTTGGGTTCAATGACCTCTGGGTTCAATGAACTAATCAACAAGCATTTGTGAAACATGCCAGCCACTTTGCTAGGTGCTGGGGATTTAAAGAAAGGCAGAAATATGGTCCTTGCCCTCAAAGAGCTCCCATTCTAATGGGGGAGACAACATGCAAATAAATATGGGCAAGTGAGACATAGTGTGAATGGAAGGTGATCTCAGAGGGAAGATACTAGTAGTGAGGGTGGGGTGGGCCGGGAAGGGCCTTCCCCAGAAGGTGGGATTCAAGTGGAGTCTTAGAGGAAGAATAACTGAGAACAGAGGTGAGAGGGAAAACATTTCAGGCAGTGAGCACAGCCAGTGCAAAGGTGTGGAGGCAGGAGAGGGGATGTTATGAAGGGAATGGCTAGGATGCCAGTGTCTGCTTCACAGAGTCCTTGGAGAGGAGGGAAATCATAGGGAGAACCAGATTGTGAAGGCTGTCAAAGACTAAACAGAGGATTCAGTATTTGTCCTGGAGGTTTGATAGGGACTATGTGCCGGAAGGGTTTCCCTCCCAACTTTGAGATTCCATGGTTTTAAGTCCAGTTTCCTTTGACTCTTAAATGTTGAAGAAATTGAAGAATCACTTCCCTTCAGCAGTTCCTTCTCCAGCTCTTTTTCAGCTGGTTCTTTCAGGGCTGAATCTCATTACTTTTCTCCTGACTCTATCTTTTCTTGAATTGAGGATTCACAAACTGAATCCACTGCCTAAATCAAGCCCAAGTAAAGTAGAAATGTTCTTAATTAACCATCACTATATCATGGCCCTCTAGGGGAGGCTCCCCCAGGCCTTTCTCTAAGCTTGGAGCCCCTTCAGGGAAGGATGGTATTGAATCCTTCAACACTTTGATTCCCAGATTTTTTTTTTCATACGAATGTATGGCTCATTGGAGCAATAGTGTGCTTCAGGGAACTTGTGGGCTCTTGTCTGAAGCCAGGGCCGGAGTCTGTCACGTCCAGAGTCGATGGAAGGAATGGGGAAATTTCTCTAAAGCTCATCTCTCTCTTTGCCTTGTGTATTTGTCTTGAGAGGTTTTCTTGATTCCTAGATCATAGTTCATCGATCATATCGGGTCAGAGCTAGACCCTAAAGATCATCTCTTCTGGCTCCCTTGTTTTGTAAGTGAGGAAACTGAGGCCCAGAGGTGAAGGGAGTCATCCAGGGTCACACAGCATGTTGGTGGCACCAGCGCTGGTACCAGAACTGAGCTGACTTCTGTTCCCCGGGGCCTGCTGCCTTCTCTCCTGGGGTGCCTGGATGAAGGCCAGCTCAGAAGCACGGCTTCCTTCCACCTCCAGTCAGGGCTGTAGGGTGCATCCTTTGTCTCCTGGAGGGAGTCTGCCAGACCCTCAGCACCTGTTCCCTTCGCTCCCCAGTCCAGTAACTGATAGGGAGGGTGGGGGGAGCTGAACACTTCTCCTTTCCTGTTCTGCTGATGGGACACATTCACCTTCTGCCCACACAACTGGAAGTGGGGGAAGGAGTCTCTCAGTCCAATCACAAGGTTTTATTTGGACCCTTTCCTTCTGCCCAGGGGAAAGAACCTTGGACTTGACTCTTAGAGTATTAGTTAAATAAATACTCCCACCCTCCTACAGCGCTGTGGCCTTTCCAAAGTGCTTTCACCTCTGTTGCTTGTTTGTCACAATACCCCTTGGAGATGGGTTGGACAGGGACTGTTACTCCCATTTAGCAAATCAGAAAATCAGTCCCTGGGAGTTTAAATGGCTTGCCCCAGTGCACACAGGAATTCAGTTATAGAATCAGGGCTAGAACCCAGGTGTCCTGACTACTCCTCACTCTCCTGTGCTGCCCAGCCATAGCCCTTTTCCATAAGGAGTTTGTGAGGTGATGTAGGGAGAAAAGACAGACGCAGGCTGGAAATACGCGGGCCCCCAGAGGATTGTGGGTGTGTGATGGGGCTAGGAAAAGGCCTCTCTTCCATAAGCACTGAGTGTCAGAAGATTGAGGGCAGAGGTGGGATCTGAACAAGGTACAGAGCCAGTATTCTTTCTATCATACTCATTTTTCTTATTTTTTTTCCATTATACTCTTTTTTTAAAGTGCTTGATATGTGCATTGAGAGGAAGCTTGGTCTGGTTTATAAAGAAAGTGCTGGCCTTGGAGTCAGAAAGACCTGGGTTCAAATCCCACCCGATATTTAATAGTTGGGTGAGTCTGGGCAAGCTTAAGTTATTTCATCTGTAAAACTGGACAATAATAGCTATAAGATTTACCTGACAAGCTTGGTGAGAGAACTAAACGTGATGAGTTTGTACTTTGCAAGCCTTAATAATAATAATTGTAATCATAGTTAGTATTTACATAGCACATTAAGGTTTGTGAATTACTTTACCAATATTTATCTTATTTGATCCTCATAGAAACTCTGGGAGGTAGATGCTATTATTATCCCAATTTCACAGATGAGGAAATGGAGGCAGTCTGAGGTTAAGTGACTTATCCATGGTCATAGAGCTAGTAAATAGATGAGGCTGGATTTGAGCCTAGCTCCTATGACACCAGAGACAGGGCTTTTCCCACTGTGCCATGCTTCTTCTTGTGGAGGAGAGGACATTAGGAATCCCAGAAAGGATGGTCTCAGTATTCTCAGCAAAGCAAGAGGTGAGGTCTATTGAAACAGGTCAGTTTTGGGGGTTTGAGAAGAGAAGGTTGTATTTAATAGTTGCTTTGGGGATGTAATAAGGAGTCAGTAATACTGGATTTCTGAAGAGTAGTGATGACCAAGTTGAAGTTAGATGGTGTAAGTTAATGTGGGGCTCAGTTTACAGTCGTATGATTTGCTCCTGCCATATTCCATTTCTCTTGAGTAGAATCAGAGATGGCAGATAGTGGGGGTTATGCAGACTGGGGATTACCAGCATGGAAACATAAGAAAGCCAGAGAAGGTCAGAGACTTGAAGGTGCTGGAGAGTGCATAATTGAAATGGCTGACCATAGGGACAAAATTTATAGAATCTCAGAGTTTAGAGGGTCCCCAGTGGTCCCACAGTCCAACCTGAAGGCTGCAGAAAGGAAGAAAGAGAAGCCAGAACAGTTGTGAAAGGACTGGGAGAAGAGGGAGGGGTCAGAGTTCATGATGGTTCAGGAGGAACGAGGCAAAAGGACAAGAGATGATGTTCATAGGGGGAAATTTCTGAGTTCAGAATCTTGGAGGTGGGGTAGGTTTTGGTGTTGCTGAGATCTGTGGTGGTGTGATTACTCCTACAAGGGCTACAGTAGAGTGGAGATTGAGGAACTGAGAGATCGAGGTGTTAGAAGAGTCAGCAGTGTGAACATTGAAGTCCCTGAGTTGGCTAGCAAGTGATGGGTCAGAGAGGAAGACTGAGCCAAGTGCTAAAGTTATTGGAAAAGGCAGGGGAGTGTTCTGGAGGTTTGTCAGTGGCTGTAATGAGGGTTACGGTTAGAATAACAATGATCATAGATAACCTTTACATATAGTGCTTTACACAGATTTTCTTGTTTGTTGGGGAGAGGATGATATAATTGGACAGTGTGATCTGCAAAAGAGGAAGAATTTTTGAGTGCTGATGGCAGTGAATTTATGGTGGTGGATTGTAAAATGGTTGAATGAATTATGGAAGCCCTCTGGAGGAGGTAGACTTGATCTGCTATTAAAGGAGGTTACAAGTTGCGGTTTCTGTGAAGGGAAGTGGTTCCACACATATGGAATGGTCTGATAGGAAGGCTGGGAAGAAGAAGGAGGGGGAGAGGAGAAATGCAATAACAAAATTAGAGGAAAATCTATCTCATGATTCAAAGCAAAAAAAAAAAAAGGAGGGCTTGTCTCAATTAAGGAATCACAGAGATAATGCAAACACAGATATTTCTTCTGGGTCTCAGTAAGATGAGGGGGTAGTACAGTATATACCATCTGAATATAAAGACCTTTCCCAGCTCTTTTTAAAAAATCAATTTTAACTAATATAAACACCAAACAATGGGCATTTGCATATACATATTAGGACAGAAAAAAGAGGATTGTACATAAAATGCAGATCTTTATAATGTGCAGCTTTCTTACTTAAACAATATATAGGAAGAGTCACTTATAGCTTTGAAAGCTGTCCTACTTTCTAGTCTTCTTTCTGGCCTTCCTTCTGTTCTTTTCTCTTCATTTAACAAAAAGTCACCGCAATGACCTCCCTCCCTCCCTATCTCTCTTTCTTCTCTTCTTTCTCTCCCTCCCTCTCTTCCTCCCTTCCTCATTTCTTTCCTTCTCTCTTTCCCTGTCTCCATCCTTGCCTCCTTCCCTCCTTTCTTCCTTCCTCCCTTTCTCCCTCCCTCCTTCCTTCCCTCACACCTTACCCAGCAGTATCCCCCACACTATTAGCATAGTAATAGGCAATATATGCCACCTCCAGGTGACTGTTGTTTATTTTCCTCTCCTTTCAGAAGTAGTCTCTAACTGTCACTAACAAAAGTCTAGGGAAATCAAGAGCCTGATTCTCCTCCAGCTGTCTTTCCTTCACATAATAATAACTTAATTAGCTATTAAGTTAATAATTAATACGAATTTAATATTATTATTTCCCAGCTGGCTTTCCATCCCTTAATAGTAATAGCCAATAAATATTTATCAGTAATTAGCTAATAATCAGTAACTGATTAACAATAACAACAACAATAAAGCGACTTCTTAACCAGCTGGCTTCCCCCTCTCTTAATGAGCCTATTCACTTGGAGGTTATTCCATCCCACACCCACCTTAATGTACATGGTTCGTTATGATCATAACTCCTTCTCCCAGCTCTTGTTGATCTAGTGTTTCAAGGTTTATAAAGCATTTTTCTCATCACAGCCTTGTGAGGCAGGCTCTGGAGCCAGCTCCTTCATTGCACCCTGACAGCTCTGTGGCCCAGCCAACGTGGTTCCTCATGACTCTTTCCTGGGGAGTCAGGAAGGGCATGGGTGACCTGGGCCATGTGTCCTGGAGCATTAACTAGCTGGGCACATGGCCAGTTCCCCCACTGCCCCAGGGATCATGACCAGCGCAGTCTGCTCCAGCAGTGAAGGGCTCTGCTCATGATGTCCTGGATGCTTGGGTGGGTGTCTACAAAGAGAAACGGAGGTAGTGAGTGGAGAGAACCCAGGACCAGGCCTCAGGACGTATAGTTCTCATTCTGGTTCTTGCTCAGTGTATGAATTTGAACGAGTCCCTTCCCCTCTCTGGGCCTCAATTTCCTGCTCTCTAAATGAGAGGCTCAGGCTAAGGGGCTGCCTGTGGTCCCTCTGACATTCTTTGTTTTGCTTTAAGCCTTATGGCCCCTTTAGCTGGTTCTCCTTGTGACTCTAACCTACCCTTTGTTTAGTATGAGAGTGCTCACCAAGTACACACCCAGAATCATCTTCTCCTGCCTGGAGGTTGAAGCTTAGGTGATCTAAGGCTGCGAAGGGGCCCTGGCTCTGCTGGGCACTCCTTGTGTGACCTTGTATAAATCACATTTCCTCTTCTGTAAAATGAAGATTTTAGACTGGATTTCCAAGGTCCTCCTTTCTAGCTCTAAATCTATGATCCTATGAAATAGGGGACTCTTTTCTCCTCTCTTCCCCTCTCCCCTGCCTTCTCTTGATAGGGGTTGTTATGGAGGCAGTGGTCATTGCATTTATGGTCGTAGAAAGAGCACTCATGGTTCATCTCCCTGGGCTTCAGTTTCCTTACTTGTAAAGGGGTTAGAGTAGATCATCTCTGCGATCTCTTCCTTCTTTGATAGTCTCTGAATTCTGGTGTAGTAGAAGGACCATCAGACTTGGGTTCAAAACCCAGCTCTTCTGCCACTTGACTTTAGACAAATCACTTCTCTCAGAGCCTCAAATTTTCCCCTTCTGTAAAATGAGGGAGTTGAGCATATCATCTCCATGGCCCCTGCCAGCACTAATCCTATGATCTGATTCTGTAGTTGTCTTGGTCTTAACATTACCTAGATGGAGTGGATGGGGTATGGAAGGAGGTAGCCTCAGGGTAGGGCCCCAGTTTAGAGCTGAGAGCCAGGTAGGAATGTTGAATGGAAGGGCAGGGAAGCATGAATGTGCTTGCTGGTAGGTAGGCTTCTTCACTGCTGTGGGCAAGGAAGAGTTGTAGCAATATTTTCATCTGAAGCAAGTGGCCAGGGGTTGGAGAGAATGGGGTGTGTGTGTGTGTGTGTGTGTGTGTGTGTGTGTGTGTGTGTGTATGGGGCCCTCACTGGGATTATGGGGAGGAAGAGCACCGTGGCACAGGTTTCAGCCATGCTGAAAGTATGGCTGCAGAGGCAGGGGAGGAAGAGGAGGGAGAGGAGGAAGCTAGCGAGGGAAGGTTCAGTTGACACTTTGAATTCCTCCTCTAGTGCATACCACAGCTAGCCCTACCCCCGCCCTGGTTATAGAGTTCTTGCTGAAAGCGGGAGAGTTACTTGCCTCCTCTTCCCTCCTACCACCACCCTGGGCCCTCAGTACCATGCTTTGTGCCCAACAGGAGCAGCCTGCAGTATGGCATCATGTGCTTGAAGAGGCTCAATTACGACAGAAAGGAGCTGGAGAAGAGAAGAGAGGAGAGCCAGCATGAGATCAAGGGTGAGCTGGCTTCTACCACAGGACTCCTGCAGCTGGGGGTGGGGGAGCGGGGAAGTGGGACCTGGGAAGGGCACAGCATAGGACTACTGGCCCAGCTCTGACAGCACTCCCCAGACCCCTTTCCTAGGGTCCTAGGGAAACTCTGTGCCATGTTTTACTGGTGAGGAAAGCAAAATTCTGTTGGGGGGGGCCTGACTTACTTGCTCATGCTGGTAGTCAGTAACAGAGCCAGAATTTGCACACAGGGCCTCTGACTCCACGTCTGACCTGCTTTCTCTACTATGTCACCTTGCTTCTTTGAGGGGCTTGGGCTGATTGCAGGGCCACTGCTTTCTCCCTTGATCCTTCCCCCTCCAGATGTGCTGGTCTGGACCAACGACCAGGTGATACACTGGATCCAGTCCATTGGGCTGCGGGACTACGCCAGCAATCTTCATGAGAGCGGCGTACATGGGGCTCTCCTTGCTCTGGATGAGAACTTTGACCACAACACGTTGGCCCTGGTCTTACAGATTCCCACGCAGAACACCCAGGTGGGATTCCCTCCCTTATCTTCCATTTTCTGTCAGGTCAAGCCAACATTCGAAACCTTGTTTCCTCAAGGGAAATAAAATTACACACACATACATGTGCACACACAAAAATTCATACATACTGGATTTTTTCAGAACCTAGGAAGCTCATGGTTTGCCACTGATAGGAATGGATAGAAGCACATTTTAATCCTCATTAAAAGAACCTCTTCAATGGAGTCTTTGGGCCAATTCATGCCTGACAAAGCCTTTCTTGCCCTCACATAGGGTCTCTGAGTGGTCCCAGCCTCATCTTAGCTTTAGAATTAAGCAGTTCAGTGGCCTTAAGGAGGCTTTTCCATACTACTTTATCCTCGATCACTCTTGAATCTATTCTCAGAAAGCTGGGTAGAGCCACAATGGCAGCGAGGGAAGACCAAGACATGAGCCCATCGGAATTTCAGGCTTGATCCCCATGATCTCTCTACCCTGATGGTCTATCCCTGACAGTGGTGCTAAGGGCGAGCATGGGAGAGCATGATTGGCCTACAAAAATTAGGGTTGTCTTCCTGATTTTTCTTTCATAACTCACATCACCCAAGAATTATTTGACTCTTCCTTGAATCTGTTTATGTTGGGGGTCTGCATAACTTTTGGGATCATTTTCCTTTTGCAATTTTGTTTTTAGAGCTGGAAGGGATGGTAGAGATTATCTAGTACAGCAGTCTTATTTTACAAGTGAGAAAATGAAGGCCTGCAGAGGTTAAGAGACTTTCCTCAGAAAACGTGGCAGTGAATTCTGTGTGGGAAGTAGCACTTGCTTTTATTTGTCACAAAGTTAATCTATTTTAAGCATTAAGGTGGGTGGAGGAGAGAAGCCTGGAGTAGTCCGGGTCTGGTGAGCAAGCCCATTTTTAGCCTAGCCCTTGCCCTTCACCATTTTATAAACTCTGATCATATTTCCTCCCAGCTCTTGTCTGTCATTTTGGGACAAAGAATCTCCACCCCCTGATGATTTTAGTCATCCTGCTTTGGACTTTTTCCAAATGTGTTGTTTGTATCTTTCTGGGGATATAGCAACTAGAACTATTCACAGCATTCCAGCAGTGAACTTTCTTTGGCTTTGTACTAGGATAGGGTGATATTTGCTGATGGTACCCAGAAATGTAGTGGCCATTTTGGTCATAGAAGCACACTGGGCCAGAGTCTTTTGGAAACAGACTATGATGACTGACAGCTCTTCCCACAAGAACTCTCTTTCCTAACAATTGTCTCAGTGTCTCTCCTTCTATAATTTATAGTCTGGATTATGCCCACTGGGTACCCATTGTCCACATACTAATCCTTTCAAAGAAGCTCAGTAGCTTAAAGATGCATTTTTTTTAACTTATATAAATCATGTTGCCTTTCCCCCAATGTGTTCAATGATCTTACCTTTTATTATAAATTCTGCCAGACTATACCATGAGTGAGCAGGGTCTCCAGTGAAGTCAGTCTCAATGAAGGCTGGCAACACTTCCCAGGAATGCACTTAACACAATGATAATAGCTCTTCACATTTATATAGTCCTAAAGTTATAAAAGTTTTACAAAGTGCTTTTATCTAACTTCTATATTACATATATGTATGTGTGTGTGCGTGTGTGTATACATATCTTTGCAAAGTAAATTTATACAACCCTAAATTTATAACCCTAAAAGTTTTACAAAGTTTACTTTGTAAACTCTGTAAGGTTGGTGGTAAAAGTGTGATATCTTCCTTTTACAGATGAGAAAATGAAGGCTTCGCCTTCTCATCTAATGCATGCTCCTCTTGTGAGTGGCTGAGGGAGTCCGGGGAGGGGTCTAGAACCGGGCTCAAGGCTGTAGCGCCTATTGTCCTCTCTTCTTCCTGATATTCCTAGGCCCGCCAAGTGATGGAAAGGGAATTTAACAACCTCTTGGCCTTGGGGACAGATCGGAAGCTGGATGATGTGAGTACTTAACCTTAACTGGAATTCATTTGGGGAGTTCTGGTCATCGTTGGGATTTGGCCTTCACAAGCCCCTTTGATGCTAAGGATATGCAGTGTGGTGGCTTGAAAGAGAAGAGGCTTGTTTTGTTTGGGACCAGAGGGCAGATCTGGGGACACTGGGTCAAAGCTGCAAAGAGAAAGAAGTACCTACAATTGGAACTGTCCCAAAGTGGAATGGGCAACCAACTTGGGGAAGTGGCTTCTCTCTCAGTGAAGGTCTTCTAAGCCAAGGCTCCATGATTGTGTGATGGGTATCCTGTAGAAGGGATTCTCGTTTAGTTATGAATTGGGCCAGATGGCCACTGAGGCCTCTTCCAGCTCTTGACATTCTGGAGTTCTGTGGGAGAGGCATCAAGGCCTGGATAATAAACCCTCAAACTCTGAGTGGTTGCTTATGCTCTATTTTGCTTGTGGGAAGCGTTTGGGTCTCCCTGGGTTATGGTATGTGGCCTTTGGGAGAGGTTGTAATGGGGCAGTCCTAGGGTAACTTCACCGTCGCCCCCTCAAGGATCAGAGTTTCCCCTTCCTAAGATCATGCCGTTGAGATCGTAGTTTTTCTTTTGTATTTCTCTCTGAGACCCTCCCTCTCTTTATGGTAACTTCAGCTTGGCATGTGCTCAGCGAGCTACTTTGTGTCCAAAAACTATTTTGCTATAATATATGGGGACCTCAGGGTACAAATTCTAAGTGGGTGGCTAAATATTAGGGATTAGGTTGCTAAATTTTGGGGAAGAAATTTGAGGCAGGGAGACTAATTAAGAGGCAATTAACATGTTCAGGTAACCACCCTGTTACTCAGTTCAGTTTGACACGGCTTAACTCATCAGTCATCTCCAGTTTCACTTTCTAGCTTCCAATCTTGCTCCTGCCCCTAGTCCAAGCCAGTGCCTTCCTGTCTTAGGATTCCTGGTCTCCTTCCCATTTGTATTCTGCAGCCTTCCCGAGGTGTGGAGCAGCTGACAAAAATCCCCTTGAACTTCTCTGTTTACTTGACATAGTGCCTGCCCTGCCCTCTCCCTGCACTTTCCACCTGACATGCTACCCCATCACCTGCCAGTTCCTTTGATTTGTCCCTTGACTGATATGTTTGCCTCCCTTCAGTTAGTTCATTGTTATTTTCCCTCTGCTCACTATAACTTCTCCATCCCTGATAAAACACCCTGCTCTCTGATTCCCATCGTCTCACATCAGCTTCATTTTTTCTTCTTTTCCAAACCCTCTCTTTCCCCTCTGTGCGGTAGAATCTGTCAGACTGCCTGATGAATGGTTCTTGTCTACTTTAACTTCATACTTCAAAGATCAGTCGGTGCATCAGCAGGCATTTCTCAAGTACTTATTGTGCTAGGTGTTGGGAGACAGCGGCCAAGGACATTGCCTGTCCTTGAGGAGCTGACTGTAGCAGGGGAGACCGCTCCATCCGTGCATGCCATCCATCTGTCCGTTGCTCTCTTTTTACATACATAGGCGTATGCAAAACACATACAAAGCAGCTGTCAGCAGCCTTGGCAGGAGGAAGGCCCTAGCTCCTGGCAGGCAAAGAAGGGCCTCAAAGGGAAGTTCTGATTTGAGTTGAGTTTAGAGGAAATCTGGGATTCCCTAGTTTAGAGATGAGGAGGGAGAGCATTTCAGGCCTAAGAATCACCAAAGCGCAGTCGGGACAGGGTACGTTGTGTGGGAGGAACAGGGAAAAAGGCTGAAATAGCTGGGACTGAGGGCTTTAAATGCCAAACAGAAAGGCTTCTCTTTGATCCTAAAGGTAACAGGAGCTGACCAGAGTTTAAGGAGAGGAGTGACATTAGGAAAATCACTTTGGCAGCCACATGGAGTGATGGGCTGGAAGGGGAGAAGTTTGAGGCAGGGAGACTGTTTACAGTTGGGAAGCTATTTCAGTAGTTCAGTTAAAGGGGATGCATTAGGGCAGGGATGGGGGAACCTGTGCCCTCCAGGCCACATGTGGCCCTCTAGGTTCTCAAGTGTGACCCTTTGACTGAATCCAAACTTCATAGAGCAAATCCCCTTAATAAAAGGATTTGTTCTGTAAAATCTGGACTTAGTCAAAAGATTGCACCCAAGGGCCTAGAAGACCACGTATTCCCCACCCCTGAACTAGGGCAATTACTGTGTGAGTAGAGGGAGGGTCCCTGAGTTCATCCACGTGAGTGACAGCTCAACCTCTCCCTGCCTAAAGAAATTCTGGCCGAAGAAGCTTAGGGTTTGGTGATGGTTGGTCTTCTGGTGGTGCACCTTGTCCCAGTTAGTGACCCTGATGCTCAGATGACAAGTGCCCAGTCTATCGCTGAACTTGTGCTGTTCTCAGAGTCTCGATACCTTGGTCTGCCTTGCTCCAGCCCGTATTCTGTGAGGGCAGCCTTTGAGAGCATAGGGTTTGCTCCACGATGGGAGGAGGAATCAAAGAAGGACAGATGAGCATGACCCAATCCTATGTATCTGTAATCACAGAATCTAAGTGGTGAGATGGACTTTAAAGGTCACCTAGGCTAACCCTTGCATCTTATGGAAGAGGCTGAGGCTCAGAGAGATTAATTAACTTGCCCAAGGTCATGTGAGTGGTACTAGCAGAAAGCCAGGATTTGAACCCAACTCTTTTAACTCTAAATTCAGTGCATGCTTTTCCACAACACTGTGCTGCCTCTATAGTCGTTTTTCTTTTTCTTTCTTTTTTTTTTTTGGCTCAGCTAGCCCAAGGGTGTATTGAGATTCTCATGTATTTGTGGGAGGAGAGGTTTGTTTTTTGTTGGGTTTTTTTCCATAGCAGTGCCTTGGGGCCTGGAGTGGGTTTCTGATTTAGGAAAGTTGACCTTTCTAGTCAAATGGATATCAAATATCTTGCCTCTCTCTGTCTTCATCTTCAGAAACATGGCTTTAGTTCTCCTTCTGTCCTCTGTGTTGTAGTGTCTTTTGGCTCTTAAGTCATCCTGGTCTCTGCCTGGAATGTCAACTCAGGGGGAAACTGGAGCTAACTTCCTAGGTGCCGTACACCAGGGTGGAGATGTTGGTGATGTCATCTGGCAGGGGACATAGGAGTGCTGGGAAAGGCAGAGATTCTAGAGAAAGAGTGCTTTGTGGAAGAGAAGACAGATACCCAGGCTCTGGTCTGAGACTTTATGATCCAGGGGTGGCCTGAAAATGGGGGAGTCTGTCACCCAATGAACCACCCAGGATCTGCTCAAGGATCAGGTTCCTTCTGTCTAGAATGTGTCTGAGGCTTACTTCCCAGGCTCCCAGTCTGCAAAGGGAATCTGACTGTCCATGAGGGAATGCAGGCAGTCAGTCATTCAGCAAATGATGTGTGCCAAGCACTGTGATAAAGTGCTGGTTTGTAGCAGAAAGTCCATCACACTACCAGGGTGGGGTTGTTAGAGAACACAGGGATTCAATTTAACGAATATTTTGTAAAGCACCTAACAGACATCAAGGTATTGTTCTAGGCTTTGAACGTAGAGAGGTATAACGAAGATCGTGTCCTGAAGGGACTTGTAATCTAACAAGGGAGGGAAAATATCCGCAAATAAGTGTGATAGCAAAGGAGAGATCCAGGCAAAGGACTTCTGAGAAATTTGTGGGAGAAATCACTTCACCCAGGCTCTGTGTGTGTGTGTGTGTGTGTGTGTGTGTGTGTGTTCAGGAAAGGTTCCAAGAAAGTGGCACCTGAGTTGGGCCTTGGAGGAAGGGAGTGCCTTCAGAAGATGGAGGATGCTGGAGTTGGGAGACTGTTCCTCCCATGGGCAGAGGTGTAGAAATGGCACAAGCTTTGGAAGCTTTTCTTGAGCCTGGGTGTGTGTGTGTGTTTAAGAGTAGGGGAGGTGACTCTTGGTCTGGGGTAGGGGAAGGGGAGGCCTGTCTAGAGTCAGGGGGTGGATTAAAAATGACCGCTGAAGAATATTTATAGCCTGAGAAGTCCTGGATGAGCCCAAGAAGAGTGTGTATTTGTTTCTGGCGGCCAGCATTGACAATTCTTTGAAGGGATGACTGAGTAGGCAGTGGGGAGGATGACAACACCGCCACAGCAATAATGATAACAATAGCTAGCAATTACATAGTGCGTGAGGTTTGAAAAATGCTTTACAAATACTGTCTCATTTGATTCTCACAACGACCCCGGGAGGTAGGTGCTATTATTATCCCCGTTTTACAGAAGAGGAAATCGAGGCACATAGAGGTTAAATGACTTGCCCAGGGTCATGTAGCTAGTGAATATCTGAAGAAAGATTTGAATTCAGGTCTTCCTGACTCTGGGACCAGTGCTTTACCCACGTGACATCTCTGGTTAGCTGATTTATGGCTAGTGTTGGCCAAGACCACCTATACTCTGTCAAAACTCCATTGACCAGTCCAGTCCCCAGCATTAAACCAGAGAGGGAGAATGAAGGAAGTAAGAGGCCTACTAAAAGAAAAGGGAGGTGGTGGGGAGTGGGATGGTTCCCCAGTTCTGTTCTCTTGTGGATAAAGTGGGGCACTGACACCATGGGAGGTGTGGTCTGGGCCTTGCACATAGAAGAATACCTAGCTCATGGCACTGGTAGCTGGATAGCAAGGGGATTCGGCTGAGAGGATACGCACAGGAAACCAGATCCCCAACACTGTCTCCATTTAGCTGGGCCTGGGAAGGATTGTGTATTCTCCAAGGCCTAAGACCCGAAGGCAAGAATGGTGTGTCTGGGAGGCCAGCTCTTCACTTTTCCCCTGGGGGAAGGGATGGGAGACATATGGGTGGGTGGGAGGGTGTAAAGAGAATGGAGATCCTAAGTTTGGACTGGGGTGGTTGGACCAGGGCAGCAGGACCCTCACAGAGAACTGGCCTGAGCCACTTTTCCTTGGAGTCTCAGGTCTGAGACATCCTGCCTCAGAGCTAGAAGGGATGTTAGAAATCAGGTACTTGAACCTACTCATTGTACAGATGAGGAAATTGAGGCCCAGAAGATGAGAAGGGACCCATCCAAAGGCCCCTGAAAGGTTCCCACCGGGCTCAAAGGTAGATCCAGACAAGAGTAGATGAGGCTTGAGGTCCTGAGGGGCCGAGGGTAGTGAAGCTTCCCATTCTTTGTGTGTAAGAGTGTGTTCATGCATGTCTCTAACTTGCAGGGTGAGGACAAGGTGTTCCGCCGTGCCCCGTCGTGGAGGAAACGCTTCCGTCCCCGGGACCCCCATGGAGGGATGCTCAGCACCTCAGCTGAGACCCTCCCCACCAGCTTCCGAGTCTCCACCCTGGGGCCGTTGCAGCCCCCACCGGCTCCGCCAAAGAAGATGCTGCCAGAAGGTGAGCTGGCTGCTGGGCTGTAGTCAGTGTCCATGTGGGCACAGGACCTGCCCCGACACCCCTCTCCCTCCTGGTATTCAGAAGCCCAGCTATAGGGGTTACCAGAGATGGTGGTGGGATCTGAGCCCTGGGTCCTGCCATCCATTTCAGAAGGCTGGTTTCCAATCCCTGGCTTCCCAGTTCCCCCTGCTAATGCTAAACTAATGGTCTGGCCCTCACCCCTCTACCCAGTGCTTGGTCCCCACGCCCCATCTGGCGCACTAACCCCTGCTCTGTGTGTTCTTGCTGCTTCTGACTCCTCCCAGCTGGGACATCAGGGTCACAGAGACTGGAGACCTCTACGGTTCGGACCTACTCCTGCTGAACTCCCCCCTACCTTCCCTACCCCGGGTCTGACGGGGGGTGTGCCCGTGGCTCGGGGTAAGTGGGGGTAGGCCCTATGCCAGGCTGGGAATGGGCATGTGGGGCCATGCCTACTTCTGCCCGCACGAACCCCTCCCCCTACACTTCCTCAGACAACTAGCTATCTTCTTGTTTGCCCCTTCCATGCCCACTGAGCATAAACAGTCCCCAAATATCCACCTAGGAGAGCTTCTCCCAACTATACCAAGGAGCCGAGATGCTACATCTTGGGTTTTGGCTTCCTCACACAACTGCTTTGTGCCCTCCAGGTCTGGCCCTTTCTCTCTAGCACTGGTCCATGCACACTGCCCTGCCTGGCCATCCTCTTGCCTTTTCTGCCTTGCTTTGCTCTGGGGATTAAGGGAGGTGGGAGCTGACCTTCAGAGGTGGAATGGGTGGGGAAGATTTGTAGCCCTTTACCTCCCTGGAGTCATCCTGGCTCCTTCTAACCCCATTCTCTCTTTCTCTCTCTGTGTCTGTCTTTCCTAGTTCATTCCCACTATCTCTACGGACACATGCTCTCCGCCTTCCGGGACTAGCCACGGCCCCACCTGGCTTCCTCCTTGGCCTCACCGGCCTGGCCGGCTCTATCCCCTCTTGCTTGTTCCCTTTCCAGTAGCCCCCAGTCTTGTCTGTGACTTTCCAGTTGCCCCTGGATCTCAGCATATACTCATCCTTGAGCTCTGACCCCCATCTCCTTTTGTCTGTGTGTTTCATGAGGCTTTGGTTGGGGCCTCTGTGTGCCAGGCTTGGCCCCATGGGTTGGTCATTCTCAGTCTACAGGGGAGAGAAGACAGCAAGCCCAGGGGGTGGAAACAACTTCCCCTTCATCTTCTCAATACCTGACCTGTCCCCCTGGCCTTGGAGCAAGGGCCAGGCCACGGCCACTGGTACCAACAGAGTAGTGTGAACTATGGTTCCCAGGGGAGAGACAGCTGTGTGCCCAGGCTCTGGTCTGTTTCCTTCCTTGTAGGGAGGGCCTCCTAGGCCTTGAGAGTGTTTCTACCTAACAACCTATTTTGACACCTGTGACAACTTCTACATTAGCAATAGCTACAGAAGCAGCTCTCAGGACTTCCTGGGGGTTTAAAGGGCCCTTGAAACCTTTGGAGAAGGCAGGAGAACAGAGCAAAGGGCTTCACCTAGGCTTGGGGCATGGGGAGAGTGAAATAGCAGGAATATTTCCACCACCAGAATAGGTTCCAGCTCAGTCTCTCTGGGATCCAAGCCCCAAGCCCTGGGCAAAGAGAGTGTAAGGAAGAATGGGGTTGACCAGCAGGCCAGCTTGGGGCTGATGTGGGAGAAGAGATGAGAAGAAATGGAATACAGAACTGCAGGTCTAGTGTCCACGAACAGGGAAGCCCCTTTCTTCAGTCAGATATTCAGACGGGGGCTGGGGGGAAGGGGAGAGCAGACTGTCTTCTGTTAGCAATAAGTCCCACGTGGCTGTGGGAGCTCTTCTCTCTCTGCTTGCTCCCCAGACCCTGGCAGGACTGCTGGGTTGGTGGATTCTGGAAGAATGTCGTAGATTCACACTGACTCAGAATGTTGGGGTTGGGGAGAGGAGAAGACAAGGATTCTCCTCTGCTTCCCCTGAACTTTTCCCAAGGGATAGAAGTAGGAAGTAGGAGACAGGAAGAGAGGGGAGGAGGAATGAGTGACTGCACATGTATCCTTTTGGGCTCAGAATCTTATGGATCCCAAATTTCCAGTCCTCTGACTCTTGCCATAGATTCCTCTTTTCCCTCCGCCATGAGCCTGCTCTCTCTGCCCTGGGAGCATCGCAGGAAGAGGCATTCCTAGGAAATCCTCCTCCTGGTATCCTTACCCCACTAAGAAGTATTGCAGGTGCCTCAAGTTTGTGTCAGTGGTGAGTGTCTGGGGAGGGAGGGGCGGGGTCCAGGACTGAGTTTTAGATTAAGGAGTCAGAGATAATTACTGGTTTCCTTGGACCTCTACAACCCACTGTCCTTCCTGGGTCTCTCTCTGGGAGAGGTCTGAGGTTTTATCATTCTTCAGGTGGGCCTCCCTATGGGAAGAGCTGGTGTGCTGGTTTGTCTGCTTAGCTTTTGAGCTGGGCTTAGAAATCAGGCTGACTGAGGCAGCAGTGCTACCTGGCTACCTGGAGGGATGATGCCCAGGTGGGGCCCAGAGCGGTGCTAGCTCTCGACCTGGTCCCTGGTTTGCTTTGTAATGGAAGGAAGAGGAATGCTAAACCTCTGTCTGCCTGCATGGGCACTTCTTCAGCCTGAGGAACTGATGAACTGGTTCCTTCAGAGGTTTAGGTGAGTGGGAAAGAATCTTGTGATGCCCATTCTCCTGAAAGACCCTCACCTACCCTTTGGGACTTCTGTGCTCATGTAGTGCCTGCTCCCTTCCCACCAGGCTGACAGAGGTGGTGGAGCTGGAATTTTTAATCAGGGAATAAGTGGAAGGAGACTAGGCTGAGAGAAGAAATTCTGTTCCAAGACCAGACTTTGGGGTTATAGAGTACTTCTTGAATGTTAAGATCCTGAGATTGGGCATCTAGGATCTTGGGGATTGCAGTGCCATCTGAATCCTTTAAAGGACTCACTTATTTTTCTTATGTAAACATCCCACTGTAAATGGGCTGTGCTGAATGAGAGACCAGGCCAACAGCTGTGTCTCCAGCCCCAGCTCTCTAGGACCTTATTGTTGACCTGCTCTGGCTGGCCTGATCACAGGGCAGAAGCTAGAGAGAGAAAATACATCCTTCCAAGGGCTGTTGGGAAGCAGGGGGATCTGTGTCACACTGTGGTAGTGGGGTGTTGTCTCCATATGTTTTTTTTTATTTGGAGAGTCACTAGTGACCCCAGCCCCCCTCACCAGCCTCCTCTGTCTCGTCAGGTCCTCCTTCCTGAGTACTGTATCGGATCACTGCATCAGGAATGGGTGTGCAACACCCCTCTGTGTGTGTGTATGTGTGTGTGTATGTGTGTGTGTGTCAGGGGTGTGTATGTAACAATAAACAACCCGGTTTTAAAATAACAGACACATTGCCTCTGGTCCTCTTGAATGTTGATGTTCTGGGTTTGGGGCTCCTGGGAGGCTGCTCCTGGGCTGGAAAATGAGCCTTTTTATTCAATCATGAACCCGCTTGTCTGTGGCAGCCACCTTGATCTCTCAGAGAGAAGTCTGGGGATCTGGGTGATGAAGAAAAGGAAGGGAGAGAGGGCTTTAGAATCTGGGAACATCCTGAGCAGAAGGTAACCAGCACCCACCACCTCTGGGCAGGCAGACTGAAGACCACGGGAGGAAGTGGCAGAAGGGAAGGACTGAAGTTCAATCTCAGGAAGAAAATTGCCTGCGGGCCAGGATTGTGAGTCCTCAGGTCAGGTTATCCAGAGAGCGGGTGGAATATTCTTTTCTCCAAGAATGTGAGAACTACCTGGCTCTTGCCCTTGGTCAGGGAAGCTTACTTAGGGTCAGCCATAGTCAGTAGCAGGGAGGTTGACTGGATGGTCTTTGGCATAATCCTTTCGCCTTTCCTTCCCTGGAATCTCCTCCTTGTAAAAGAGGTGAGATTGAGGAACAGAAGGGGAAGGGGATGTGTTTCTGGTGATAGTCAGCAGAAGCAGGGATGAGAACTCAGGAGCCTGCCAGACCCCCCACCCCCCACGTCCCAGAACACAAGATGAGGACTTGTTCCATCTAGGTGTATGAAGCACAAAGGCACCAAGTTTATCTGCAGTCATTTGCAGGCAATTTACATAACCTACCAGTTAAATTGTCATTTCCATTCTCCTGATAGTTGTCATATTTGATTCTTCTCTATTCCTTCTCATCCACCCCCTCATCCCCACTTGGGTTTCCATCTACCAGATACATATGACAGGGGAGGAAGAGATGTACTAAGCTGGGGAGATGGAGCAGCCTGCAGGCAGCTCGTATGTAAACTGGGGATAATAATTGTACTACCAGCCCCCCAGGGCTGTTGTGAGCATCCGATGAGACGATTTAGGTAGAGCATTTGGTAAACCTGGAAATGTTCCATCAGCCTAAGCCATGATGGTTACTACTACCTTAGGAGCCACTCAGCTGACATGGATGTCCTGGGTCTCCAGGCAGTCGCCTTGCCCCTCCCCACTTCTTCCCCAAACCGCAGGGACAGTTGAGTTTAGCAAGGGATTCATTTACAAAGTAAGAGTCACTTACAAGCATACACAAGAACATATGAAATCAGAGTGCTCACCAGTTCACTGATCATTTTCTAATATAAATTTCTGTTCTCAACCTTGTCTAGGACTGACTGAGCCCAGCCATTTTTGTCAGGGAGAAACACTCATCCCTCTTTTTCCCAGATCTTTTGGCAGACTGCCTCCTTCCTATTCCCCTCATGGTCTCTATTCTCCCTTAGCTCTGCCACTCTTTGAAGGAAGAAACGATGACACCTATTCCACCTCCTCAGCAGGCGCCATCTGTGAGTCAGTAAGGGGTCCACTTCATATCGACCTGGGAACAAAAGTCCTACCTGCCTATTTCCTGTGGCTATGTAGTTCTTCCACTTAAAATGTCATTTTGTCACAAGTGGACAAGTGCCACAGGAGGCAGAGATCCTTCCAGGGGCTGGAGCAGCCAGGGCAAGCTTTATGAAGGAGATGGGAATTCCAGAGTCCTGAAGGATAGATAGGGTTGGACTAGCCAGAGAGGAAGTTACCATGGTGTGATGTAGTGGTTCTCAAGCTTTTTGGTCCCAGGACCTCTTTATGCTTTAAAAATTTTTTTTGAGGATTCTCCAAAGGACTTGTGTTTATGTAGATCATACCTATTGATAAATACTGTTTTAGAAATTCAAATATTTTCTTATTATCATGAAAATAATTTTGACTTTGTTGACACCCAAAATTGATCCCCTCCAGGGATCCCCAGATCATAGTTTGAAAACTGCCGGTCTAGGGAAGAGAAGAGAGTGGGAGTCTGGAACAGACTACCCTGATTCAGATCCCATCTCTAGCACTTATTTGCTTATTAACCATGGGCAAATCTGAGCATCAGTTTCCTTATCCTTGAAACAGTAGGGTTGAGAGATGAGATCTTTAATGTTTTTCCAGCTCTAAATAATATGAGCCAATGAAGACGTTTGGGGACGACTGTGGCATCCGTAACTGACCACTGTTCCCAAGACATTATGACCAGGGCAGAGTGTAATGGGACCTCCAGCTCCTAAACCCTGGAGGCTGTCTTTTACTGCAGCCCCCAAGATCTCAGGTCACATCTCTCTTTGCCTGCTGTCTGCTTGGAGTTCACTAAAAACCCCAGATCCTCCTTGGACAAACTGCCATCTGGCCGTGCCTCCCCAGGCTTGTCTTTGTAAGGTTGATTTTCTGAATCCAGCTGTAAGGCTTTCATTTATTTTGATTAAATTTCATCTCGTTAGAGTCAGTCCACTGATCTACCAGGGGTGGGGAGGCCATGGTCTCGAGGCCACAGTTTCCCCTCCCCTGACTAGGCTGTCAAGATCTTTTTGGATCCCGACTGATATGTAATGTGTTATCTACTTCTCTGCACTCCATTGGAGATCTTCTAAGCTGATGCTGAACCATTACCTATAACTCTTTGAGTTGGGTCGTATGATCAGTTCTAAGTCCATCTGAATGTATTATCAGGAAGATCCAGTTTCAGATCCCACCTCAGACAGCGACTAGCTATGTTGCTCTTGGTAAGTCACTCAACCTCTCTGTGCCTCAGTTTCCTTTTCTGTAAAATGGGGATAATATAGAGCACCTACCTTCTAGAGTTGTAAAAATCAAATGAGGTAATATTTGTAAATCACTTTGCAAATATCAAAGCACTATAAAGGTACATAAGAATAATATGTCATTTTAATAAATTAAAAACCAATAATAGTCCCAAAGAAAAAGATAATGAAAGATATTTCCCTTCTCATGGCACAGACATGAAGCAAAACATTATATGCACTATCAGATGTAGCCACTGTTTTGGACATGTTCACTTATATAAACCTACGTTGGGAACTCTACACTTAATTGTTTTTTTTTTTTGGCTAGGCAGTGGGGTTAAGTGACTTGCCTAGGGTCACACAGCTAGTAAGTGTTATGTGCCTGAGGCCAGATTTGAACTCAGGTCCTCCTGAATCCAGGGCCAGTGCTCTATCCAGTGCACCACCTAGCTGTCACTTAATTGTTTTTCTTACAGTGCATCATGTTACAGTGAAAAAAGCCTACTTCTGAAGTCAGGGGACCTCAGCTAGATGGCATAACTGATAGAGTGCTGGGCTTGGAGTAGGGAGGACCTGAGTTCAAATTTGGTCTCAGACAATTACTAGCTGTGTGACCTTGAGCAAGTCTCTTAGCCTTTGCCTGCCTCAGTTTCTTCATCTGTAAAATGGGGATAATAGCAGCACCCTTCTCCTAGGGCTGTCGTGAGCATCAAATGAGATAATACCCAGCGTTTCCCCAATCTGCCCAGTTTTGTAACCCCATCAGGAAAAGGAAATAACATCTGCCTGTCTGCCATGACCTGTTCTTGCTGAGGCATGCTGGCTGGCTCTTCATGATCACTGCTTCCCTTCTGCAGGCTCGCAAACCATCTTTTTGATGATTCATCTTAGAATTTTCCAAAGAACTGGGTCAAACTCATTGGACTGTAGTTCATAGACTCTTCCCTTTCCTGAAATCATAATCTTTCCCTTTCTTCAGTCCTGTGGTCCATACCCTGCTCTCATTGATCTTTCAAATATGGAGAGTACAGCTGTGATCAGATCTGCCAGTTCACCTGGCCTAGACTCTCCTAGTACAGTATCTGCTCATTTGAGATATCAACTCCCCATTAACCAC